TTCGGTTTGCCTGGAAGGACTCTCCCTTGTTGCCCTGCAGGCTGGACTCTTGTTTTCCTCCCACTCCCAAGCCCTTGAAGGCTGTGCCAAGGCGTGAGCTGGCACTGCTGGGCTGGGGCACGGCCCTCTGCCTCTGCCTCCCCCTGCGCGGCTGCGGGCCCGGGGCAGGGAATACCCCACCCTTTGGCTGGGGCAGAGGAGCCTCAGAGCCCTGCTTTCATCCCAGCCCTGTCTGGGAAAGCTCCTGAACCTGCTCTGCATCTGGGAGCACAGGAATCCACAGCAAAGCTGAGTGCTGGCTCACCTGGAGTGATTCTTGAAGGCAGGCTGGCATCAGACACCATGTGAAATAATCATCCACGTGGCACCTGCCATGGCTGCAGAGTCAAATCACAGTTTGCAGGGAAACACTGGGGTTGAGCATCACAGAAAACCTTCCAAGTGCAAACTAAGTGTCACCAGACCAGTGGCATGTTCCTGAAACAAATAACCAGAAGCACAAACATCGCTGTCCCTCAGAGCCTGATGGGATCAGAGCTCTGGATCCTGATGGGAGCATCCCTGATTGTTTTGTTGCTGGTCATCTGAGCAAAGGAAGTGGAGGAGAGAGTGGAAGCAAAGCCCAGAGCTGGAAAATGGAAATGACTGCGAGGAAAGGAATGTGGAGCTTCACAGCAACTCAGAGTAGAGGGGGGAGATGAGCAGGGGAAAGGAGGTGAATCACAGTGAAGCAGCAGCAGTCTCTGGAGTGCTGAGTGTGGCACGGGCAGCTCCTCAGTGCTCTCTGTCGGTGCCGTGGAGCCCTGGGCTGGCACTGCCAGGCACAGCAGTTCCATCCCTGGGCCAGCCCAGAGCCCAGACACAGGTTTTGCCAGGATGGGTTTAACATGACTGCTGAGTTCCTGTCCCAGGACACTGCTTGGAGCAGGAGGGAGAGCCCTGAAGTCTCTTGCCAAGTGGTGTCTGTGCACGAGGATGGCTGGTGTGAAGCCCCTGTGCCCAGCTCTGAGTGGGTGCAGAGTCTTGCAGTGCCAGTTCTCTCTCCCAGCAGAGGCAGTGGGACAGGGTGATCCCACAGCATCAGGGCTTGGAAAGACCAAGTATTTTTAGCAACCAAATAATCAAACTCTCCCTAAATATGTACCTGAGGAGTGACAGCAGCAGCCTCCTGCCCTGGAGCAGTGCCTAGAGCCCATCCTTCCCCCTCCCAAAGTGAGAAGGGGAGGTCGTGGGGTCCCCTCAGCTCCCTCTGGAGTGGACAGGCTGTGGGTTTTCCCCATGGAGCCGTGTCCAGGCAGCTCCCCCGGCAGATGCTGCATCCTGGCAGCCGCCTCGCTGTCCCTCTGTGTCAGAGTCTGTGCGTGCACAGAAAGGGAGGGACAATCCCGGATGTGAAGGATTTACAGCCCTGGCAGACGCTCCTCACGGGCGGCAGCGTTGGCGATTTAAGCAGCGCAGTCTGAGCCCGAGACTTGCCAGGCTCAGACACAGCACAGGGAGGCTCCAGCCAAAGGCGGAGCCCCGAGGCCCTGACCCACCTGCCCCAAAGGGCTGCGGGAGGGCAGAGCAGGCCGGGGCATCCTCCCCTCCCCAGCAGCTCGTGGGGCCGGGATGGGCTTTCCTCTTGCCAGGGAAGGGACGAAACACCGGCGCTTTGCTGAGTCCACCCTGGGAAGCAGCGAGGAGCCAGTGGGATGCAAGGAGGCTCAGCAGCCTGAGCTGGGATGGCAGAGCTGGGGGGCCGCTCACAAAAGCAGGCAGGAGCTGTCGCCAGGAAAATCCCAATCCCAAGCACCGACTGCGTGAAGCAGTTTGTAGAGATCTGAGCTACAGGCTCAGATCTTCACCATTCCATTGCTCCCATTTGTGTTCCCCTCCAAGTGACTTCAGGGGAGACCTCACCCAGAATTAAACCACTTGCACCTCGGTTTGTGATTTAACTTTCTCTGGCTAAACAGATACAGATCTTGGTTTCATGCCTTGCAATTCATTGTGCATTTACTGGACACAGTCAGTCCTTCCACTTTATAAACATGGAAGGAAGGAACACACAAAGCAGACCTGGACTTCCAAAGGAAGGAGCCGTCAGCTCACGAGCTGCCTCGCTGGCATTTTTAAGGTGTATTATTTACGTACTGGAAAGGAGCCAACCAAAACTTCTCTTAAGACATTTCTCCCTTACTTGGAGAACAAAGTCTACTGCTTTGTGAAAATGAATAATTAAATTCTGAGGTTTGGGCATCTTCATTTATTGCTGAGAACTTGGCATCAACACTTTTCCAAATTTGGGGAAAACGAGAACAAAAGTCAATATAAGACAATGTACAAACATAAGAGTAGATTAGTCTGTTTATCCCAAACTAAGTCTTTGGATAAAGGAAAGACATTTGCATGCTCTGCATAAAATACAAAGAAGTTGATACTTTCCAATCTTGATACAGTTTTTATAAACCCTTCTCTCTTTTTTAAGATCATTGCAATTAACATTCAGAGAATGTTGTGAATTTGTTCCTAACTGCTAATAAAGGCAGTTTAATTAACCAGTGACATTAACCAGGTTAAGTGCTGGGGATTCAAGGAGATTGAAAGAAAAGCTGTTTGGATCATTACAGCAAGACTTCTGCTGGTCTGGAGGATCCTAAAATGGAGTGACAATGAGTACGTTTAAGGTATGCAGATGTGTTGCTGAAAGGTGTTCCAGCATCTCTGGATGGGCAAATTCCACAGCAGAAAATTAAAAGAAGGAAAAAAAGTCCCAACATAGTAGTCAGTTTAATTTGTTTAACAATTTTTTACCAAAAAGGAAAGAACTCGTCGTGTTCAGTTTGTAATTTTGGGGAGTATAACTCTTTCTGCACACTGCTGTGATATTTTCTTGCCAGGCACTCCAAGTTCTGCCACTCTTGGACAGTTGGCACACGCAGGTTTTGGTTGCTGGCACAGAGAACGTGGGGATGTGCAGCACAACTCCTGCAGGATGGAGGCTCTAAGGGTGGCAAAGCTTTCCAATTAGGGCAGGCAATAAAAAGAACTCCTACAATTCAGCTTAAATCCTGCGTGTCTCTGGAATTCTGTCACGATGGACTGTAAAAGGTGTGACTGGAGAAGTATTAACAGCAAAGTCCTCCTTTAAAAGCTGGGCATGTCCTTTGTGCCAGGGCAGGCTCACAGTGGGTTATTGCAGGGGAGTACAGACCCTCCCCAGGGCTGCTGGAAGGTGCCAAGGCAGCAAACACCCACTTCCAATAAAATTCAATATGTCAGTGGCTGATAAATAAATCAAATGACTTGGCAAATAAAAATGTGATTCTGTGCCTGCAATGAATCTGGCATTTTCCACGTTATCCTCTCCAAATCAGGAGTAGAGACATCAATATGTCATCAGAAATAGTAGAAATGTCTCTTTATCCTTCCCAGTGAAGATCAAGTGTAGGAAGGCTATTCCTCCACAGTGACCCCTCTCATGGAAGTGATGCCCTGAGCACAGCTGAGTTCAGAGACACCAACCAAACTTAGTTCTTACGAAATAAAATGGAACTCACATTGGTTCAGGTACTTAATGCTGCAGGACATCCCTTAAATCTGAATGTATTTCTGTATTCTGGTTTAGCTGCACCAGATCCTTTCCTTTCAGCCTGTGCTCTCCACACAGATGTCCCAGATCCTTCACACGTGGGGTGCAGGACAACAGAAACCTGCAGGATCCGTTCAGGTGAAAAACTTACATGAGTTTTGGCTTCATCTTAAACCTGTCCAGTTCCTACTCTTGAATCTTATTAGTGCCTCAAACTTTATTCCAAAATTGTTTTGGATCCATAAAGAAATAGCAAAACACATCAGATCGAGGAAGTTCTTGAGGTTTTTACATCTTGTTCTCTTCATCACAAGTTTTTAGGGGCAAATTGCCCTCAGCTGTTTACAGCCTTTTCTTTCCTCTTTCATGTTTTTCTCCTCAAAACCAGTGTTTTTTCAAACTCAATACCCAACCTAAGCAGGCTGTGTTACTTTGTTCCTCCTGCCAACCCCCTCCATCCCTCCATCCCCACGAGCCCGTGACACAGAGCCAAACCCTGGAGCTGCAGCACTGAGCAAACCACCCCCCTTCGTTCTCCACCTTCACTGTTCAAAGCCTGACTGATCACAGAAAGGACCAGCTAAGGATTCTCATTCACCTCCAACTCCGAGGTAAATATATGTGTTTTTACCTGGCAATTAAGAAATGCATCATTTTTTCTAAGGTAAGAAAGTTCCACTACCTTCATTTTGCACATTTAGACATGAGAGGACGCTCAAAGTTTTCCCAGGAAATATTCTACAACAGATGCATCATTTCCACTCCCAAACCAGCAAACAGAACAGTTTACTAACACCTGGTCTAGTGGGAGGTGTCCCTACCCATGACAGAGGGGTTGGCACTGAATGGTCTTTAAGGTCCCTTCCAACCCCTTAACATTCAGATTACATGAAATCCCCACCTTTCTAGAGTGCTTTTAAGACACAGTTCACATTTAATCTGAATGTAGTATATACTTTGACATGTTAGGACGGGATAGAATTTAATTCTAGAACTCTGATTGTAGGAGCTCCCTGAATGCACAACTGGAGATAAAAATAATTGGAAGAAAATGGAAATGTTTCTAGGATTAAAGCTCAAGATCTGAAATGCACTGAAAAGATTAAAGGAAACAAACTCTGTAAAAAGTCAAATATTTGTTTCGCTGTGTCACTGAAAGACATCAGTTCTCTCAAAAAAATGCATTATACACTAAAAATATAGAATAAAACCACAGAGCATCAAAAGGATCACGGAACACGGACACTTTTAAAACACTGCTGACAACACGGAACATCCCCAATGCACACACACACCCTGGGAGGTTTATATATGATCTCTATATATTTCAAAGTACACACAAACTGCCCATGTGGCAGGTTGAGAAAATAGGAATACATCTTGGGAAGGGAATGAAGGAAAAAAAAAACCCACAGGAAAACAGGAGTTATTTACATTCAATATTCAGTAGCCTTTAACACCTCTATATACATACAGACTCTATATATGTACAGACTGCGCTGGAGCAGAGGAAGTTATTCCAAATGCAAAAGGAAAATACAAATCCCCTGGGTAATTCACTGGACAAGCGTTTACAGGTTGCAGAGATTTCTTCATTTACAAAGAAAATACTAAACACAGAGTAGACAACTCGCATCTCCAGGGAACTTGGAAGTCCTTACAAGAGGTGTGTGATCCCAATGAACCACTGGAAATAGTGGAAAACTTGCTGTGGGAGGAGGATTTTAGGAGGTTAATGTGTCAGACATAGTTAACAAGTCATAATTTAGTTGCTGTCAAGGGACAGTTTAGAAAAGAAACCCCAAAATTTGGGTTTCAGTTCTCAAGTCAACTTAATTATGTACCTTCCCCTTCTGCAGCACGAGTTCAAAACTCCCATGGCACAGAAGGTGACATCATTTCACACGTGGCTTTGCCCCTTTATCAGAGACATCTGCCCTCTGTAAGTTTTATACCCACTCCAGACATGCCAAACATTTTGTACTTCATTTTTACAAAGCAGATCAATACCCCACAAGCAGGAAAATACAGAGACCATCCTTGCCTGGTAATTTATATGATGTGACAATTGGTCTCCTTTCCTGCCCAGGAGGATGTTTGTCTCAGGGGCAGTGCTGCAAAGGGACACCACTCACTGTTCCTCACCCCAGCCAGTGCTATTTATACTCCTTTTCTCCCCAAGCTGGAGCAGCAGCTCATGCAGGGAACAAACTGCCCAAAACCCCCACCCCAACCACCTGAGCAGGAATTTTCAAGAGAGAAAACGTTGCTGGAGCTTGAAGGCTATTTTTTTTTTCTTTTTTTTTTTTTGCTGTTAACCTTTAAGATGTTTAACAGTCCAGAGCCGTGGCTGCAGCTGTGTTAGTAACTGGGTGGCAAAGCCAAGGCAGTGATGGTGGCAAGTAGCAGAGAGCAGGCAAAGGACAGCAAGTGGAGGAATAGATTTCTGGAATGGGAACGGTTCTTATGGATCTTGGAAGTACTGTCAGCTTTTTTCCCCCCTCCAAGGGACACAAGTCTATGGGAAGTTTAAGAGGCTGAAATAAAATAGTGTGGTTTGATTATCAATACAGGGAATATCTAGTATTTGCTCATCCCAGCAAGCAAAGTGAGCACACCAGGCTGAGAAGAGCACTTAGGAACTGAGCATGTCCAAGTAATTTTTTTCAAAAGATAAAAAATTTAAAAGAAAATCACTAACTGTGAACCTGGGACTTCTAGAACCATCTCACTGACCCTCAAGACCTAAAACATTGTTACCATCTCAGATCCCAGAAGTTTCTACATCAAATAACAATTAAGAGCCAGAGCCGGGGCAGTCCCCACCCAGCCTGCCCTCACTGGCACTTTGGTTCCCTGTCTGCTGCAGTTGTGATCTGTCAACACACTCCTCAAAATCCCATCTCTGCTCTTGGAATGGATGCCAAATCCATGCACTTGTGAGTATGGAACACAGGAACATCCTTCCCCACACCCTGTGCTCCATAGTTTGCCAGGGCTGTGACAAGCACTTGGGCACACTTCCCTTGCTCCCAACACCCACCACCTGCATTCCAGGGATTTACGGAGATGCAGCAGGTGCTACAGCAACAGGGAGCAGAGGATTTATTCCAGGTCTGTATTCCCAGTTAGTCCCAAGCATGAGCAGGGGTTTAATCTCCCAACCAGCTCAGGCTGGAGCTGAGGGAGGTGGGCACACTCCCTTCCCTGCCGAGCAGGGGCTCCGTGAGCACTGGGCTGGTGGCACAGGCAGAGTTAACTGAGCCTCAAGGGAAACAATTCCATAAGGGAACACACTGCAGCCTCAAGAAGACAATTCCCAGAAGGGAACACACTGCAGCCTCAAGCTGCGGAACTTCTGCCCCGTTATTTACGGAGAAGCTCCTTCTGACCCTCAGGAGGTGCCACCCCTGCAGTGATCCTGCTCTGGCAGCTGAGCCTTCCTTAAAACACACATTTGGAGCTTTAAAGAGAGTTTAGTTCTTGCCTCATTAGCGAGTTCAGCTGAGAGATTTGGGCTGCAAGACAGAAGCCCGGTTAGAGCAGCCTGGAACATGCCAAGTCCTGTCAAATTCCAATTGTACAGACTTGTTAGTTTTTTTGGAATACGGTGATTGCCTAAACAAGACTCCACTTCTTGTTAGTACAATAACTTTTATTTGACATCTACAAGATCATTATCTTGTAGTTTTTTTGGACAGGTTTATACAATCTCAATTTTTCAATAGTGCAACCTGTGCAAGCAAGAAATGACAAACATTGTCCTTCACTTTCTTATAAACATCTACTATTATAGGCAAAACAAAACTTACCCATATTATAGATAAGTGACTATTCACATTTGTACATTACAATTTCTTTTAAACAGCTCCAGATAAACTCTACAATGTCTTACAACATATTAAACAGTATTCAAGTTACTGGGTAACAGAAACAGCACATACAGCGGAACCCTCAAGTGTTTCCCATTCTCTAATTTACAGCTCAAGTAAGGTTTCATCTTACAAGTGACAAATTAAATTACGTTAATGAAGTAAAAAATAGAAGATTGTATGCGAGATGGAAGTGAATTTGCACTTAAGTTTCCATAACCACCTCAGATTAAGGAAATGCTTCAATTTAAGGAAAAACAGGCATCCAGCCATCTTTGCAGTACACATTAGGAATACCATTAATACATTAAAAATGAATTAATTTTAATTTAAGATGTTTATCACAAAAAGAACATGTTGTAGACTCAAATATATAACCCCCAGGAGAGAACCAGAAAAAAAATGCAACACCTGGGTATAAACACTATAAAAATGCAATAACCAATGCTGTACAACTAAGATTGTGTTTCTCTCCGAATTCCTGCCTCGTGTGTTTATCCTGCCCATGCCCGTTTCCAAAGACATGCACTGTCAAACAGAAACTGGGAAGGAACCTGAATGCATGATGTGCAATCTCTAGGTTTCATGCTTTTATAAACTCAAATTGAAGAGGAAAAACCCAATATATATTTTCTATATATATACTCAATACATGCATTCGAGATCTCCCACAGCAATGGCATCGATGCACTGCGTTAAACCCTGAGCACTGTATGACAAGATAAAAATAAAGCCTGCTTGGGGATTTTCAAGCGTTTTCAAACAAATCGTGGTTTGTAGCTTAAAAGGCCAAAAGTAAAAGCAAACAGGAAGCACTACAGAGAGCATAAGGAAAGACAGATGCACCACCATAAACAACTGCTGGCTTTCAGTTCTACCAACCTTTTTAGATCTCTTTATTCCCAAAGTATTTGAGAGCACACAACTGAACTGAAAAAGTTATATTTCTTTGGAATCTGTCCCTGATTTTTATGCAAGTGATATGCTTTTACAGCCTTTTCCTCAAAACACCAGAGTCAACACCTGTAGCTTGTCCTCCTCCTATGCGTTGCTGAGGTTGGTGATGCTCTGGGGGTGGTGCTGCTGCCAGATCTGCTGCTGCTGCACCGCCAGCTGCTGCGACTGGTCGGACGTCGACAGGAGGTTCACGAGGGGCGACACACAATTTGCAGGAATGATCAAACCTGGGAACAGCAACGAATCAGTTGTTTCATGAACACTTCGTTCGTTAAAACCTCGGGCTGGTGATTCCACCGTGTAATTTAGGCAACAGTCAGCGAGCGTTTGCAATGTCAGGTCTAATCAGCACAGCCACAAGTTCTGCTTCTCAGAGGTTCATCCTTTCTCCTGCTTCACGACTTTAAAAATTTTGACCCGGTGACAAAATTTATTCTTATGTCACTCAGTCTCACATGAAACCAGATATAAGCTATTTTGGCTTTTCTAGTCTCACAGAAGTTACACCATCAAGGAAGTTTAAACCTAGTTCCAACATCCTAGAAAACTGTTCCTAGAGGAGGAGCTGCCAGGATATTGCATATCCAGAGGAAATCCACATTTAAAAAAATATGGACATTTCAGCCTCTGAGGTCCCTGCTCTGAGAGCTTCACTAAGAGGTTTAGTGAGAAGACAATAATCTTGAAGTCATTCTGCACACTTTCAGTAGCCCAAAAACTATGAAAACAATTATTTCAAGTGTCTACTCATCTGTTCCAAGAGTAGGAAGGAAAGTGGAGCCATTATGATTTCAAGGTAGCCTGGCTGGCAGAGGCCAAATATGATGGTTTTGTTCCAAGTAAATCAAAAGAACTGAGAGAATAAGTGTCTCAAAGCCTGGCTGAAAACAAATTCTTCCTTCTTTAACCTGCCTCCAAACACTGTTTGCATTACATTGCTGAAATCCAGATGTCACCAGCTGTAGTTCTGCCCCTCCCCAAGAGACACCCTGACAAGCCTGTTGTCTCAGAAGCATCTTTTACACAAGTCTGGGACAAAGAGACAACTTCCTTCTCCTCCAAGCTGGCAGTAAAGGAGCAGCAGTGCACTTACCTACGATCCTCTGCCCATCCTCTGTCCTCAGGCGAACAATCTGCATCTTCACATTTGTCCCACTCACAGAGGCCAGAACTCCTTCCACCTTTGTCCACACGCTCAGCACGGAGCCACACAGGACGTAGTAGGTCCGGCAGCGCAGTCCCACCTCACACACCAGTCCCAGACCTGCCTTCTTACAATTGCCTCTCCTACAGACAGAGGAAAAAAAGCTTTCAAAACAATTCTGCAAAACAGAAAGTATCCAATTTCATTAAAAATGAGACCTGAAGTTATTTAAGACATTACTCAGAGTCAAGTGAGGGCTGCGAGACGCACTAAGGGACGGCAGGGCTCTGATGGTAAAGTGCTCTTCAAAATGTCCAGAGTCAGAGGCACTGCCATTCTCAGCCTGAATGCTGGTATGTGAAACAGTGCTGGGATCTGATCAGTGCATTTCAGAAGCTCCAATATCAATCTGAAACTTCTACCAGTTGTGCTGTTCCTCAGGAATTCAGCCATAGCTGAGTTCAGACACACAACAGGCAGCACAGGAACAGCTGTTTCTCCCATCCATCTCATCTCTACACGAAGTATAAACATTTCCCCCCCAAATAACATCTGAACTATCAGATCACAATAATAGCTCAGCTCAAGACACTTCGAGCACAAGCTACTCCTGGGTCATTGCACTTCTACAGAGCGTAATTTATACAGGAGCATTCATCTCATACATTAGGACTTCAGGGTGAGTGCAAAGCTTCATGCTTTCACTTCAAAGTTGGGTCATTTGACTGGTCATGGGACAATTTCTCTTAAAGAAGATTTCATAAGAGTAACAGAAGAAGTGATAAAGCAGTTTAAATGAAAGCACTGGTGTGCACACAAACACTGACCAGTAGGCGTGGGTGCAGGTGTCTGCAGAGGAATTGTACTGCTCCAACCAGTGTGGCAGAGCATCCTCAGAGGGTACCTGGAAGAGTGGGAATAAAGGAAAACACATCAACACTTACACAGAACACAAGCAATTTGGTTATTACTGTGAGAAAAGAGGGAGCACCAATACTATGATGGTGCAGAGGTACAGCATCCTACAGCCTAACTTCAAACTGTCCATCCCAAAGAATGAGCAAAATGCTCAAAGGCAGCAGAACCTCAGAGCTTTTTCAGTAAATCAATCTGAACTGCTTCCTCAAGTTTTTACAAATTCAACACTTGCTAGACCCTAAAGAACCTAATTTTGTATTACCACACTACAGATAGCTTATATTCAAAAAGTTTTGGATATAGGAATGCCAAAACCATGTAGACCTGCTTAAAAAGACCTAAATACAAGCCCTGCTCTGGAGAAAGAAGCCTAGTGTTTGACTTGCCAGAATTATATAAAAATACCAGAAAAAGAAAGCCCTTATACTTATTTTCAATTTTTTTTCCAGTTTAAAACAAGCATAATTTTAATGGTTACCTTCTTATATTTCTTTTTCAGGTCTGCACATGTTTCTAGTTTGAGTTGTTTCCCAGTATTTGGTCTGTATACTAAAAAAAGCTTCTTTTTAGGATTCACTTCTTTTACCAGAATTGCTGTTTTCTTGTTATTTCTTATCTGCAAAAAGAAAGACAAACCAAAAACTTCCTAAATTTAAACATGATGACAGTGTCTGTCTTAAGTGATTCCATTCTGCATTCTTTACAGAGTAGTAAGAGTTTGTAATACTACAACCAGGAATAATAATACACCTCTAGAACACAGTGATCCACATTAACCTCACAGCTTTTCCTCACAGTGAAAGCACATGGTTTCTTGGTACAGGTTAAAATAAGAGCTATTATTTTGGGTTCATATTCCTATCAGAAAATATCCTGAGCAGCTAAAAAGGAGCACTTCATACTCATCATTAAAAACAAATTTAAAATGAATTTGTAAGACTCAAAAGTATCTTGCAAAACTGAGCAGTGATTACTTTGAACAGTAAATTTTTCAGGTTACATTTCCCTGAACATAAACCAAGAGACAGAAGAACCTTACCTGTAGTGATAAATAAAATCCATCATCTGGACCTGTCTGTTCAGCCCAGAGCTTTGTTGCTTCATCCCAAGACATTCCTCTCTCCACACTGATCTACAAGAGAGTGGGAGTACTTGAGTGGGAACAGACTTTAAAACAGTTATACACATAGGAACTAAACATGTTGTAAAAGCTTTTAGTATGTCAGTTTTGATAAAGATGATACAGAATTAGCTTACTGTGTACAGCTCTACATGTCCAGAGGTAGAATATCCAGGAGTTAAAAACTTCTTAACATCTGCCTTCCTTACTTTCTCATCCCCAGAGCCCAAATCTGAAAAGGAAAGCAGAGTTTTATTCTGTTTCTCTGTTCTCACACAAGTACAAGAGTAATGACAAATTATTTTACTCACCCAAGATGCCCATGTCATATCTCCCATTCTTTTTAGCATTTTGAATAACTGCATTTAACGTGTCAGAGAAGTACTGGAACAAAGCGTTCTGCTGATGGACTTCCATTCCAAGAATTCGATTCAGAAACTTCCCTATATTGTTATAATCTTAAAAAAAAAAAACAAATACATGTTTTAGGTCAACAAAGATTAAGTGTGATAATAACAAGCTCTTAATCACTACTCAAAGAGCCTCAAAGACTATTTAAATCCATTCTTTCAGAAATGGAGAAAACATTACGCTCTTCAAAAGAGTAACTTCTTAGATAGTTGAAGATAGAATAAGGCCAGTCCTGTTGCTAGGAATCCACTGTCATGGCATATGATATTCCCAGCAGCATCCCAAAGATACACTGAACACAGCAGTACCTTTATCAAGTGTCAGTATTCCGGATCTGTCTTCTACATTTATCAAGCCCACGCCAATCAATCCCTGACGAACATCTAGGAAAGAGAAGGAAGTTCAATCAGAGCTGCTTTGCCATCTAAAAATAACCCAATGAAGTAACAGCTTGTTTAGCAATGGGATCCAATTCCAAAACTGTGACACCTCTCGATTCCATTACTTACAATTTCTACCTAATACATCAATAAGCAAGACAGGACTTTTGCCTTCTGTCCTCCAGGAAGCAGAGGCAGTGAAAAACACCAGTGGCACCATGGATGAGAACAAGATATCACAATGGATAATGGCAAAGTGTAGTTAAAGAACTGTATATTATAGTCAGGCCAAGCAGACACAGAACATTCCTTATATTGAGAGTTCATGTATCTTGTTTCATACGTGAACTTCAACATTCAAGCAACGTGCACAGACTCTCCCTGGCTGTTATTCCCATCTGTCCCAGCTGATCAGTTTAAATAGCAACAATGTTTTATAGCTCTCAAATTATTTGCATTTTCTGCCTACTGGAGAAGGATCAAAAGAAAACTATTGCAGCCAGTCAATTATCTTACCTTTGAAGAAGTCTCCAGGAAAATCAGGAGGAGGTGAGACCATTGGGGAGTCCAAGTTCACAATGGATTTCATAACAATCTCCAAAGCATTTCTGCCATACTGTGCAAGGAAAAGAAAGTTATTCTATCAATGGGATCCAGTCTTTGTGCCCCAAGCACATGTACTTTGATTCACAATAAAACATTTTTCTCTGAAATAGTAAAGGGAACTGGTTATTACCTTTATGTAGTGTAGTGTATAATTGAAAACAAAGCAGTCTTAATTTCTAATTAGAACTGCCAAATCAATCTTTCAGCTGTGATGGAAAGGACACATCATTTAGTTAAGACTTTGTTTGCCAAGGCAGAACAGTGATTTACACACATTTGTGTTCTACATGGCTTTGCAAACAGAATTAAGGATGTTACTGGCTACCTCAGAAAGTGATACAGTTAAAGGTAGGAGATGAGAAAGATTCTTTCTCAACAGGTCATTTGTGGAATAAGCACCACAGCACAGGCTTTCCAACAAAAACAGAACCATCACCTTGTTGTCAAAATTGAATCTGCTGAGGTCTCGAGTTTCTGTGGCCCTTCTGTCCCCGTGGGTAAGGGCTCCCTGTTAAGACACACAGTTGCCATTAAACGGAATTTTAAGAAAAAGAAATCTAATTTGCATTTTCTCAAATGAATGCTCAGACCACTTGAAACAATCTTACCAAGCTCTCCAGTCTTTTTGCAACTATGGATGCAAATCTTTGCTCTCCTGCCAGTTCAGAAATGAGGAACACATACTCTGGAGCAGTCACTTGGTTGGATCTGTGAGTTCTTCCTGGATAATTAAATAGAAGCACGTATGTTAAATAAATTACACTTCATGGAATATTTCTAATAAACTATGCATTGTGTAGAGTGAGGAAAAAAGCTAGAACTTAATCCTGCTGAAAATTAAGTTTCTGCTGTATTACAGCCAACAGAAGGCAGCACAGATGCTCTGGAGCTGTGGCAACTTTTATTCATGTATCCAGTGTCTTTATAAAACTCCAAAGCTGCAGCACAGCTTGTTTGCAAGGTTTCTTTCAAAACTTTCAAGACAATTAGCTATGACTGCAGAAAAAGTAGATTCTGCTCATGACTAAAGAAGACTGGAGGGGTCCTTAAGAGGTCAGGTCACCTACTCAATCTGATCTCCCGTGAGTCAGCAGTAAACTCAGTCAGTGTTACTGAGTTTGCCAGAGAAAGGACACAAAAAGAAGCATTTACCAAACTGCTGTATTGCTCTGTCTGCACTCCAGGGCAGCTCCAGGGTCATGTGAACTCTCCGTCTCTGGTTCTTGGCTCTCCGATCTGCTTGCAATGATATCCCAGAGCTGGCAGCCTCCGAGATGATGGCAATGTTCTTGGAGGAAGAAAAATATAAACCCAAGATCAAGCATCAGTTTTCAGTGTCTAAGAAAAATCTCATTATACACCTATTAGCAAACAGAGTGGAATGGTGTCACTGTTACTTGGTCTTCCCATCAAAAGGAGGAGGGAGGGGAGACAAGGTGTGGTTCCCTTTATCAGAGTTAGAAATGTTAATGAATTTTTTTTGACTGAAAGGAGTGGGTTTTGCTTCTTTACTTTTCAACATCATCTCTGTGCAAATGAAAACAGGTGGTACATGCTGCAGTCTTGCCATCCCAGAGAGCAGGTTGCTCTGACATTGACTGGCACTTCAGAAAGAAGGGGGGGGACACAGAGACTTGTTCCAATGGTAACACAGAGAAGACAAAAAGTTGCTGCTACTGCTGTATAAGGATCTGGCCACTCTGGTGCCTTCAAAGAATGTGTTTGGACTGTGCACAAGTCACTTACAGGAACTGAGTCTTTACCCTCAAGTGTCACAACAGACCACACAAGTTCCACACAGTGACATTTACTCCATTTGCCCTCTTGTGGCAGCACGGCCCAAGTGAACCACTGGGAAGGGTTTTCCCCCCCCCTCCTTCTTTATCACCTTCAATCCTACCATCATTCCAGTCAGGTTTTTTTCTTTCAGATTGCAATGTAAAGGACAAAAGCCATCACTCTACTCAGCATTACTTCTCAATCCTTGTTAGGGTTAACAACCTCACCTTTTCCCTGAAAGTTTTTTCATACCAAGTCAGTGGTTTTCCCCATTTCCCAATTTCACTATTACCTCTTGGAAGGAGAGGTACACAGTTATCCAGATCAATGAATCAGAGATATGAACCACAAATCTGCCTTTTAAACATGTTTTGTTTTACAAGATCAGCTTAAAGGTTCAAGCTTTTGGTTTGGCACATGGGTGCACACGTCAAGGACAAGCCTCTGAGGTCACCCAAACTACTGCCTGACCTTTCAAGCACAGTGAACACACTGATTTGAAAAACAAAACACACAGCAGTGATCAGAAAACGTTTATTAAGTAGTACTTATAGTATAGGCCCTCTCCAGTTCTCCTGTAGCTCCCTTCAGGTACTGAAAGACCACAATAAGGTCACTGGAGCTTCTCTTCTTCAGAGAAAGGATAACTCTTAGACATATTTCTGTAATGTATTTTGATTTAAAATTGAGATATAACAAAAAGATGTCTCAGCATTCCAGTGCAATTTTTCATTCCTTCTCCTCCCATTGCTTATGAAAGCATAGTGAGAAAGGAAACCACAATTTTTCACTCCTTCTTTCATAATTAGGTAATACTTTATCCCAATGCTACTACGAGTCACTGTGCAATGATGGCTGAGCCACGACTCAATAGCTTGGTGTTGCTGTGGCATCTGGCATGTTTTATCTCTTTAAGGATTACCTTATCTCCATCCATGAACCTCTGCTTTTCTGTGATGTTCAGGATTTCCACAGGCACATCCAGCTCAGACCTGGACTCATAGGAAATGCTGCCGTCGTCGTTGCTCACAACCCGCCCCTTGCGGCCCGTCATCTTCCAAAGGAAAAGGGAACATAGGCTCATTGTGGCAATATCAAAACCACTCCATGACCAAAAGCCCCAAGCAATATTGCTATTTATTCGTGTACCAACCTCAAAACAGAGTCAGCAATTTACTCCAAGTGCAAAAGTACATTAGAGAACCTGGATTATTTTTCGGTTGATGCCATGACCCGCTACGTGGAACACTGATTTAGAGGTAACTCAGGGAACCAAGAAAAGCATAACAAAGCACATCTATGTAAAAATGTCATATTATGCTACTGTTCATCAGGGATTTACCAGCAGTACTAAGAAAATAAACTCAACAGATAGCTTAGAGTGTCATTGATTTTGACAGGGCCTTTTAAATCACAGTGATGTTTCTACTTGATAGAGACAGGCAGCTTGAAGACAGATTTCTGAAGTTATTGAGAAAGAAAGAATAATTAATAAAGCTTTTCATTAACACACCTGGGTCCTTCATCTCCATTGTCTTGGAGGATGAACTAAAGCTTCAAACTGACTACAGCTAGTTAGAGAAATAGATCACTATAAAGTAAGAGAAACTGGTGTGATTTACCCAACAGGAAACTATCAGGCTCTGAAATGACCCATTCATCCATTCAGAGCTCCCCTCTGTATTCTAAAACAATCTTCAAGTTTCTCTAATTGAGAGCCATCCAGCAAGGTAACCCCTATTCTCACCACCTGTGAGATTACTGCCTAGAACTGATGAACAAGCTCTTTAAAAACATCCATTTTTCTACATGTGAACACCAGCCTACCTCTGCAACATTTTCAGGACCACCCAGTTCATCTATAAGCTCATCCAGTGTATTAGGTGGAAGATCTTCAGCCAGCTTTTCCAGTTTATCCAGCAGTTCTTTTTTCATTTGTTGGGCCCTTTCAACAGCATCCTGACTCGTTACAAAGCTGCTGTTTGTGTTGCTGTTTGCTGAAATTTAAGAGAGACTCTTTGAGATTTAGAATTTTATTGCCCAACTGCTAAGAAAGTGAATCAACATCAAAAACTTCTTACCAGACGTGTTGGTACTCGAGGTGGTGGTACCAACAGTGGAAGTGAAGCAGCTGGGTCGTTTGGATCCCAGGCCAGAGGCTAGTAAGGCACTTTGAATGGAGTCTGGGTCTATGCTTTTCTTCTTCTTCTTTTCTTTATTTTTTTTATGCTCTTTTCTAATGAGCCAGGGATCTAAAGTTAAAAAAAAAGTTTCAAACATTTACTGAACAGCCATCCTTCCCTTTGAAAGAAATACATTCTCACTGCAAAAAGTGACTTACAGAAGTCTGAACTCCAGTGTGTAAAATCTAATTGAAGATTTACATTCTAATGCAAATTCCAGTCTCATTAGGACTAAACTACATGATTAGCAAACACTTATTTGTTGTTCATTGAAATGGTTAGGAAAGATTTTCTCATTATTTGCAAATACAGCTACTTGCTTGATGAAACACAAACTCTCTTACCATCTTCATCATCCTCACTGGATTCATCTCTGAATGGGTTGAAGTCATCATCATCTCCAGAACTCAAGAATTTGGAGCTCTCGTTGTCACTTTCTTCATTATCTGAAGCATCAGACTCACTCTCACTCTCATCAGAGCTGCTGCCTGCAAGGCCCCCTGTCTTGCGAGCTTTCTTGGCTTCTCTGCTGATCTCCTCACCTGATCCATCACCCCAGAAGAAAAAGAACTTCGTTTAAAACCTTGTGGTCAACACTTTGAGGTTTGTCTTACCACTGCTGCACACAAACTAGAAAAATACTCAATTTCTAAAAAGAGAACTGTATGAAAGAATCTAAGTTCTAAGCAAAATCTCTCTCCCAAGTTTTTTATCATCACCTACTTTTGGGCAAGAAGATAATCAGTTTGGGAACAGGGGTGTATTAGGCTTCTCTTTACTGAGCCTCAGAAAAGAAAGCAATTATTTGTGTGACTGCATCAGGAAATGGTCTGTGCAAAGCATTTTGCACCCATAACAGCTCAATCCAATTTTGAGCAAAAAGTACCCAAAATGTACCGGATATAGTGCTTCAGCAGCAGTTTTAAATCTAATAATGGAAATCTCCAACAGAAGTCTCAGAGACCTGCAATACATGCTCTTACATGAATGACTGTACAGATATTTCCATATTTTATCCAAAGTTCACTCCTAGGCAGCTCTAAAGTTGCTATTTCCACTGTGGCATTAGTGTAAGAACATCAGCATTACCTTTTCGTTTCTTTATCTTGTTCTCCTTGCAAGGGCTGTCTCGGGGTGAATTGTTGTTACTTTGAGCAGTCAAATCAATTCCCAACAAGCTAAACAGCTTCTTCCTGTCGGGAGCTGGAAAGTGCTTTTCAATAAGAGACTGGAATACTCCTCTGTGTAAGAAAAAAAAAAAAAAAGAGTTCTTCAGTGGAATTTGCATTTATTTAAAATACAAAGCTGTAACATTTTAACTGCTTGAGTTCTCTGAAGAATGATTCCTTATGAGTGCACAGGAGCACCCTGAATATTATCACCTGTATTGCTGTATTTGTCACCTTAAAAGCAGGAGACATTTATTTTACAGCATTGTTACGTAAAATCTACTAAATCTGGTTTTGATAGCAAGTGGTATTGCTACTGCCATTTTTTTATTGCTTGGTTTAAGTAACAGATTAATTTAATTTATTAAGATCTCCAGCAAGGCAGCCTTGGGATTGGCTCTAGCTCATCTCAAAGAAGGAAGTCATGGTTTGCAACCTGCTCTGGTTTAAATGCAGTGCACACTCAGCAAGTCTTCCCCTCCTCCCAGTTTGAGTAGAACAGTATGAGCTGTTTGCACCTGACAGCATTTTGGAATGCCAGAAGAACTAGGAACTAACCGAGGGGTCACCTGAGCAATACTGTCAGACCTCAGGTACAGGAAGTTGCAGTAAAGAACATCAGTACTAAAGGATTCCTAACTTTCTGTGAACTTTTGACACGTAAAAGGACAAGTGACACACACACAAAACCAGATGAATGTTAAGTTTTGTAAAGAACAGTTCTAAAACTTCAGTCTTACTTTGCTGTGGAAACAAAGTCATTCAGTTCACCTCCACCTTCCTCCAAAGCTTCCAATGTTCTCGCTTCCCCCGTTGACTGCAGGCCAATGACAACACACTGAGGGACAAATGAACACCACACACCGTCACTAGGTCTGAGCTGCAAGCTTATTTTGCCTGAATTTCTGCTCATTAAATAGCTTCAATACCATAAAGTACAAAAACATGGCTGAAAATATTTGCGTTATATATATAAAAAATTATTTAATAGCTTTACAATTAAGAACAATATTTTAAAATAGGTTTTGGTCGACTTACTTTGCCATTCTTGATTTCCTCCCGAGCAAGCTGCACCACCCTCTTCACCTTGGAGGCTATGCAAAGGTACTTGAAAAACCTCTGGTGTGCTGACCAAAACTGCCCCCACATGGACTTCTTCATGCGTTGCTCGGCGTCGATGAGATCGGCCGCCTGCTGAAACCTCTCCCGAGCACTGACCCACTGAACAAGACATTGGGAATCCCTTTACAGGTTGTATTTCAAGGCTCAGAGATACATTGTTTAATATCCAAATCAAGACAGGAGAGTTTAAAGTTACAGTATTGTGACACTGCACTTTAAGGAAACTCATCAGACAGCAAAGCTCACAAAAAAACCCCAGCTATGGTTTAGTAAATTAAGCAATTACTCTCTTAATAAAAAGCAGATACATCTGCATTACAACCAGAGCAAACATACACAGTGTTTTATAATTATCTAGCTTCTCCATTAATACATTAAGGTTAAGAAAGCAGAGAGCACTGCCCATAATTAATTACTAAGCACCATCCCAAGAAGAGAAAAACCCACTGCCTTGGTTTGCCTAAATGGAGGCAGAGGAGCACAAAAGTAGGACCAATAGAACAGCTTTATCTTGGGCAACAGTGACCAAAGTGTCTGAAGTACTGCTAGAAGGCAGTGGATTTTGGCAGGTACTGCACCTTTGATGACTCAGAACAAAAATTAACAGCTTTTGCCAAGCCTTAAATGGAGAAATCTTTACATTAAAAGACACAAGGAGATGCCATTCCCATCTCTCAACAGGCTGTTTCAGGAGCATTCAAGTTTCAACCAACTTCAACCTCTCAGAACTCAATACAGAAAGCAAATTTAGAAAGGGGTTCTTACCAGTTTCACAGATTTATTGTACATTTTAACATATTCCTGTGAAAGCAGAACTTCGTCGATTTTGAAAGTTACACCTGAAAAGCTCAACTGCCTTGCTATGTACATTCCTCTCAGCTTCATATCCATAGCAACTATTTCCATGGCACCAACACCTCTAAAATAAGGGAACAAATTAAGTCCATATTAGAATTTTCAAGAGCAAGGATTTGTTAAGAAAACCCAAACCCACAACCTCAAGTGCTCTAGAAGAAAACAGCGAGCTTACAAATGTGAAGGAATATGTTTTTGAAATCATTAGTACTGTTTTGTTAAACACATCCAAACAGGGTGTGAAATTTAGCCTTTATATAAAACTGTATCCCTGCCTTGTGAGAATTAAGTGCACCCCAAGAGGTAAAACTCAAGTTATATTTTTTTCCCCAAATGACCTAGGAAGCATAAGGAGACAGCACCTTACAAACTGTACGTGGATAATGGAGTTGGTCCAAAGGTTAACAGAATCTTGTATTGTAATTTTATAGATTCCACTGAAGATTTAAAATAATTAATACAAACTGTAGCAAGCCATTCAAATTTATGCTGGCATGAAAATGATTTAATTAGTAGGTAACTTCAGTTCTCTTCAGCAGCAACACACCTCTAGCAATACCTTGAGAGCACTGAAGTCACCTGCAAAGCTTTGCTACTTACAGGCTTGAGGCTGTAATTTCATTATTGCTCATTTGAGCCATACTCAGTAATGAAGTGAGACTACACTTGCACAGTCTAGAAGAGTCATGCATCATGCAGATGGTAAATAAAATGCATACTAAGCTTCCTGAAGTGTTCAAAATTCTTTAAGTAGACAAAACATATTAAGATGCTCACCTACCAAAAAATGCAGGAGTGGTGTTTTCTGACCCCTCACATTTGGTTTTATTAACACATTCTGAAGTATGAAGTACTCTGCCACAGCAGACACAATTTCCCTGAGCTGTGTTCTTATGCCAGTAAGGACAAGAATGAGATTTCCTCCTATTAAATTGCCTGAGCTGATGCATAAACAGAGGCCTTCTGCAGTGAGCCATCAACTGCACTGAGCAGGCAGCACACACAGGGTGTTTTCATGGGGAGCAAAGTCTTTTCCTTTCCTAATATCCACATTAAGGTTTTTGCCCCAACAAGCTTCTAAAGCCCTCCAATTTTTCTGTGAGCAAGAGAAACATCCTATTTTTCACCACCTAAGATAAAGTACATTTCTGCCAGAGTTAGAAAGTTCTTGGTGTGACAGGACATGTCTGCAGAGGACTGAGTGAGTGAACACAAGGAACTGCAGAGCACAGCCAGGCACAGCTACGGGTGTTCCTGCTGTAGGTCTTTGAAATGAAATATTACCTTCTTTCAACAGCCTGAATAAAATCACTGAATTCCCTAAAGGGAGTTCCTTCACCCCAAATTCCAAGCCGGTTCATATATGCCATGTTTCTTGGCTCAGATGCACCTGAGGAGAAGAACAGAGTCTGAACCAGTGCCAGCAAAGACATACAGAGACAGAGTGCAAACCCAGCAGCACATACCTGTGGCACTGGCATAAACAACCCTGGCTTTGGGAAGTTTATTTTGAAGCTCCAGTACGGCCAGACCTGTCTTTGTTGGTTTGGATGAACCAACAGGACACAGGTTCTTTGCTTTATGACACTCATCAAATACAATCTGAACTGTAATTAAGGAAAACTTCGTCCCACATTTTTAGAGTGAGGATCTCAAACAGAAGGCAAGAAAAACTGCTAATTTCAACAGGTAAATCGTTGGCTCAAGAAGACATTAGTGTTTTTTCACTAAAAATCTTGGGAAAACATTTAGCTACTGGTTCAGTATTTAAGAACACAATGGCCAACACTTGAGTTCTTGAGAATGCTGTTGATACTCGATTTTTTTTAATAATTCACTGGAGAGAATTTTAGTGTAAAATTAAAATATGATGCTTAAGAATCTTATGTGCTTGTTATAGAAAAAGCAGAAGCTTCCTTCTTGTACCTGAGTTGTGTGGCAACAAGATAATGATAACACTTTTGGCACATAGTTTGTAAAACTTCAAGTCTCGTGTCAGAGCATGCACACAACTGATTGCCAACAAATAAAGAACAACACCTACAAATACATGATTATCTTTAGGGATTTAAGTTTAAATAGGAGTTTGATTAGAATAAACTGAACTCCAGACAAAGGATACAACACCATCAAAGTCTTCACCACACCAGTGAAGCAGCTGCTTTAATCTGGTTTTGTATTTCCCTCCAGACTGACTTTCCCCAATAAGAGAAGAATAGGTAGCAAAGATGACACCTTTCTTCACGCTTCCATTATGTTTGGAAGAGATTTTCCCATACTTGAACTGCAATAAAAAGAAATTACAGAAATTAATCAAAAGAGATCCCTCCTCAATCCCACCTCCCAGATGATTATGGGATGCTGGTGGTCTCAACCTTAGAGGTGTGAACATGGTGACCCACCCATATCCCACATGATCCAGGGCACAGCTGGCACGTGGCAATGTGGTTAAGGGGTTATACAGGGCCTTATTTAAATACACACTTAGGGAAGACTAGAGCTGAAGCTTCAAGAGCTTAACAGACACATTCTTTGGCTACACACTTTCCTTAATTTAAATACAACTGAGCTTTTAGTTCCAATGTATCCCTTTAAAGTCAATACCTCAAGTGTATTTACTGCTGCTACCACAAGTGATGATTTCTAAAGCTTTAGTTTAGAAATTAAGAACTCACAAAGCAAAAATATAACTTAAATCAAACTTTAAGTTCAGTGAATTCAACCAGCAATCACACTTTACAATTTAAGTGGCTAATCCTGAGCAGAGGCACAGTCTCCAAAAATAACTGCTCACACCATTTCTGCTTTAACAAGTCACTGAGCAAGTCCATTATTCAAGTATTACACACAAAATGTATTACATCTAAAATGTGCACTGAGAGATAGAAAGGCAAAAAATCAAATGCTACAAAGCTTTAAAGATTTAAAGAATACTTCAACTTCCTAGAAAATACTCTACTAGCAGTGTCAGTAGTGGTTTGAAGAGTAATTAAAAAAAAGCACATGCTAAGACTTAATCCTACAAGGGGCCTATTTACATGATTAACTTAAAGCTCTGTGTGGTTCTTTGTAAGATTAAGGCCTGTCAAACAAGGCCTAGACAGCACATTTATTGAAATTAGTACATTCTTGCTCTTAAAACAGTCAACATGCACAACCCGTCACACCAGCGTACCTAAGGCTTTGCCTCAACTGTACATAGTAAAAAGTTTCCACACCTTGTTTAATGAATGAACCAATATGTTTTTTGCTCCAATATCTCTCAAATCTCTTTCAGCATCATATTTCAGATCGTTTGACACACTAAACCTGAGGACAGAAAACAAGGCATGTTCTGTAAGTACAGCAGAAGCTCAAAAAAGCAGTTGCTAAAACTTTTGTCAGAAGACAGATGACCCTGAATTGAAGTCATACAGTCACTGGAGTGTCTGCTCTAACAAATCCTCACACACTTACCAGACTGCTCTTTTTCTGCCTAACAAGTAATTTTCATAGATTATTCCAGCTATGGTCCTTCCTTTTCCTACACCAGCACCATCACCTATCAAGAATCCAGCTCTGTCTCCATTGGGCAGGAATGTTTCATGTTGCTGTAGGAGAAAGAACAAAAAACTTGTACCCATTCTCCAGAACACATCACTGGGGATTGTCAGAAATGAGCAAACATAAGAAACATCCTATTGGAGAAGACCAGTGGTCCAAGCAAACTCCTGGCAGCAGGAAAAGGGGATTTTATTTAAGGAAAGCATATGAGCTTAACTGCTTTATGTGATCCATTCTCCCTTCTTCCCTCAGCACACCTATGACTGCTCTACAGATCTGTGTAATTCTTTCAGTGCCTTTTCCTAACACCCCAATAAGCACTTCCACAGCCTTTTAACAGCAGCAAGACCCAGACATCCAGAGCCTGTGGACAGCAGTGTCGTTCTGCCCATTTTAAACCAAATCTCCTTTCACCACATTCGGTTTTGTGGGCTATCACTGACTTCCTGGTTATGTAAACCTATATTTCACTCCCATCCCTTTTCTCCTCTCCAGCCCCAGGTGGCCCAGCCACATTAGTCTTTTTTTCAAGAGGCAACTTCCCTCCTGTGACAATTTTAGTTCAACTTCACTCTCTCCCTCTCCAACACACAGAGTGCTGCACACACATCTGCTGTGGGCACACTGAAGTGTAATTCAGCAGCAAAATAACACCCAATCTTGCTCTCCATACCCCTCCCAGTGACGTCAAACAGGGCTCAGTTTCTCAGCCTGCTGCTACTGCAGTCATTAAGTTATTTCAGAGAAATAAAAATGACTAACTTGTTCTTCCTGAGTTTTAAGACAGTTGGAGATCAGCATTATGGAAGTGATTTAGAAAAAGCTTTCCTAGGTGTATTACCTCCCATTTATGTGAACTGAAGCTCACCTGCCACCTCCTAATGCAACTCAGACCTTTAAGCTCTTATTATTTTATCTCCTTGTAAAACTGACATAGCTATGCTTGTCAGACAGTAGTTTTTCTTCTTAAATTCTCTGTTAGCTTTTAAGCTGCACCGATATCTGGCATACCTGGGCTGCATAAGTGATTGCTTCAAGTTGCAAAGCTGACAACCAGCCACTATCAATTGTTTCTTCAGATATTGATGTCTGGTACCACACATCAGGAGGAGTCACGCTGGACAACGAGCTGGTTTCCACTACTGGGTCAGGATGACGTAGCCCAATTTTTACTGGGTGAAAAGGAAGGGAGAAGATGAAAACATGAACCAGAGCTCTGGTGCTGCAGCACAAGTTACTATATTTACACCAAAACAAATTACAATTGTGATTGCAAAGTCCGAAGTCAACAACGTTTCATTGCAACAGTCTGTCAAGTGTTAAACCAAGGAACACATTAATCTCAATTTTTAACTGCAATCATACTTTCTCTTCTCACCACCTTCTCCCAATTTTTATGAAATTAGATAAAAGTCACTTAATAGAAAATTAAATTATTTGGGGACTTGACATGTTTGAGAAAAACCAGTCTGGACCTTGTCTTCCCAAAAGGCCAGAGGCAGCCTCAGGATGCCAGAATCACAAAAGCAACATTCTTCTCTCTATTTATATAGTGCTGTTTTTAAGCAGAATGAGAGGAGAAAAGATTTAGAACAGACATGGTTTAATTGCTGACAGATCTCATCAGTGACAATAAAAATTAACTGTTTAGCTACAAACTCCATGTAAAATTTGTTGCCTTGTTTATACAGCAGGTCAACAATGTACTTAGGAAACAAGATAACAGCTTTCTGTCAATAGGTACAATAAAGAGAAAAGAGAAAAAAACAGAAGATGGCAATTAACAGCAGTAAAAGATTCACTTAAAAGAAAACCAACCAAGAACCAGTTCTAAGTAGTCAGCCAGGAACAATGCAGGAAGAATGTGCTCAGGGTGATTTCACACCAAAAGACTCAAAGTAGATTTTTAAGTGTAGCAGTGAGCACTTAATCCCCTCACAAAATTTCCTCTGCTGAGGCACAAGGCATTTTACATAGGTAAAAAAATGCCTATCTTGATTCATCAGTATCTGTGAAACAAATACTGCTCAAAGATACACTAAAGAATTCCCCTTCTATTAAAAAAATCCACATATCTTCCAAAACTAAGCACTGTAGAAGACAAAAAATTTCCTAGGAAAACCTACAACATACTTAGGTTCTTTTAACTTGACTCAGACAGTAACTTATCTGTTTTCTGCTGTTAGTAATCACAAAACAAATTAGCTCTGAAAGCATTTCAGCCTTTTGATGTAACTAAACAGCAGGTCGTACATTTTATTGGCATATACTCAGCATAAGTCTCTGCATGGCCCATTTCTTCTTCATCTTCTTCCTCAGGTTCCTCCTCCTCTTTTACTGCTGGCACTTTCTGCAAGAGAGAGAAATAGTCCTGTCAGTCAAACAGCATATTGTCAATATTCCATGTCCTGAAAACAAACAGGAGAAAGGAAATGAGGACAAACTTGGACTTGAGTGTTTTAACACATGGACTGGCTGAACTAGGGAATAGCTGGGAAAACTACAGACAGGAATGTAGATCCCTCACACTCTGAACAAACCTTCAGAGACACAAAGTCAGGGAACCTCCTCTCCTTTGCAAAGAGATCAAGTACCCCAAACTTGCATAAGCAGAATTATAAAGGAACTCCTCTTACAGCATATTAAAATCAGACTATGACTTAAAGAAAACTGTCCTGAAAACACAGCAGCCCTAATTTCCAAGTACTCCCCTGAAGTCTTGAGCAGTTTCACACTCATGATGGAATTTTACAACTTTGGGGAATAGTTACAATAGTCACAGCTCTACCCAGTACTCTCTGAAGCCTGACAGTTACCCATTTTTTACTGTGGCCTTGATCAATGGAAGTATTTGAATATTTGTAAAGTACTTGCTAGATGACAAATCAAACATCTTCCACAATTATTAATGTTTAATACAAAAGTGATCTCAAAAGGCTTCTATATGCCAGTGACTGAGGAGCACAGCTCTTCCCAAATTCAGTCTGAGTCCAGCTATCAGTGAAGATGCCAAAACTCAATTACAGCATCAGAATGTAATTTTATTACATTTAGAAAATTGAAAGATACTCAATTTACATCTTCAATCCAACTGCCCAGAAGGACAGCTGTGCCAGAGGAACTCCTCTGGTTTTCCTCACTGGAAAACAGTTATTTCAAAAGAAAAAGCCTTACCCCAGAGCAAGGGATGTGCTTAGCACCTTTAATCAGCACACCCTTCTTCACACATACAATGAGGTTCTGTTAAGAACAGTAATTTCTTGAAATTGTCATTTACTCAGTAGTCTCTGCTCCACACAGCTGTTAGTTTTAGACATCTAACCAAGTTTTTAGTGGAGAAACTGAGCTTTTGGACAAAACAGCTGCACTTGACAATTCCACCACACACAAGGCACGGATGAGTAACCCCTGACACTGGCCCCAGGTGCTTGTGGCCAGTAACACACTCATTTGGCAAATTATCGGTACCACTTACCACGGTGGGTGAGAAACTTCTCATTTTAATGTCATTTATCCATATTCTTGCTACCTCTTTTGTGGAAGCCTCCTTCTTCACTGCACCATTGCTTAGGTCAGCTACAAAAGGAAAGCTGTGGTTTACAGGAATTCCCTCCAAACAGCAACTCAAATTAACATTTAGAAGTTTAAAATATCAAGTAGCACACCAATGCTTCAACACAATCAATGCTTCTGAGCAAAGTAACAAGTCCAAGGAGTTAAATCCTGTTACTCTTTTGACTGAAGGACCTCCCCATGCAATGCCACTGTGTCTCACAGTTGTGTATATTTCAATATTTAATAAAAATTATCTTTCACCTTCACCAAATCTATACACAGGATTTACAGCTACTCCACCTTGTGAGCCTTTGAAGTTTAACAACAAACCAAAAAGCTCAGAGTTTCAACAGAAATGAACTTACCTGGTCTGGTGGCATTTACCACCTTAGAAGAAACTACAGTTAGTTCTGTAAAACAAAAAGTCAACACTTTGGACTCAACTGTTTAAAGTTTATAACAGGATCCTTTAAGAAGACCATTTATTAACTTCCCTGTCCTCAGTCACATTTGGAAGCAACTGGCAATGGGGCTCAGTACAGAACAGAAGTGATTTACACAAGGATATATGTAAAACATTGAAACGGGTTGCCAAGCTTCCATTGTGTAATAAATTTAGCATAATTGCCCAAAAAAACCAATTACAGCACTTGCACAAATAAAAATTTTCCTCAAAGACATTGCATAATTCAACTTTTTAATATTTTCCAATCTAGAACTCCTGCTGCCTGAATTATATGAAAAGACCACGTTTCCTTTCAAGAGCTTCTCTGCCTTTCAATTTGCCACAAGTATTGTCAAATTTTTTTTTTAATAAACATTAAAAAAATTACAGAAACATAAGAACACAAATAAGATTAGAAATGCAGTTCTGGAAGTTGCATGTCTCCTTTTTACTTCATACAGATGCTACAGAGTCAATATTTTCTACAGCTGTGCCACTATAACAATTTGTGGATTGATGTCACCTATTCTGTGCTTCTGTGAGTTTTCACTTTGCACCAAGGGGATAAGTCAGTCCTGTAAAACCTTCTCTCCTCTTCCTCACTCCTTTACCCCCACCCCAACTTCATTTAAGGTCTGAACTTAAAGTTTTGTCAACCACTCCCTAACAGAAGGCAATGAAATGAGGAGGCACATTCTGCTTTTTGTTTCAGTCCTCCCAGGCAGCTCAGTCACTGCACTCTCGATCTGCAGACAGAAAATAGGTTATGCCAACCACACCTATAAAATCAGCAAAGCTCATTTCAGACACAATGAAAATAAAGAAACCCAGAAAAAGCCTGTGTACCTTACAGAAAAACAACAGCAATAAAGATATTTTCTAACTAACTAGTCTGACCTCATGCTGAAATTAGAGTAACAGGAAAGAATTAAATCAGAATTTCACACACATGCAGTTTTTCCCTTATATTAAGTTGAGCACATGTTAGAAATAACATACAAGGAAGTATTATGAAAGGAATCATAAAATGAAGATTGGGAGTGTGGTAACGAAATAGTTGTGGCATTTAAGTTAACACAACATTTCAGAGGTGACATGAAAATGAACAGCAAGTTTTTAAGGACTTAAGTTTTTAAACAATAGATCTGATGCCTTCAGTGAAACAGAGGGACAGATTTTTCTTTTGCAGGAGACACTTTACAGAAACACCTTATCCCAGGAGCACCATTTGTAGCATGTACTACAAATTTAGTTTGGAAGATGCCAAACAAGGTACTAGTTTGTTACAGCTGCACAGCAAGTACACAGTACAACAGGAACTGATGCAGACTCCAATAAGACACTTAATTGATTCCAGTAATGCTCATAGATTAATTTTACCAATTTTCCAGCTGCAATCAAAAATGTCATTTTCCTCATTCCATGAAGTAAATCAAGAGCTTAATTTTTTAAGAAGCCTGTTATTTTATACTACTGAATTGAACACTATTAAAGTCAGAATGAATTTTATCAGTTTTTCTCAATCACTTCGTGGTATTGTACTAATCAGTGAAAATCCAAGATGTGCAAAGATCATTATTTTACTATTTAAAATACTGTAATGGTGAAAAAAAAAGAAGAAAACTCACTTGCTGCTGTTGCTACTGGTTGGGCAATATTAGGAGGTGGCTTCAGTTTCATGAGTTCATTAAGACTATTATTCTTGAGCAGATCTTTCAGCTGAATCTGGTCCTTGGAAGGTGCAGTGGTCAAGGCATTTCTTACTGCTGGTGCTGCCACCGAGGGCCGGGTGGTTGTGCTGGTCTGGATGATCTTGGCTACAGTGATGGTCTGTCTGGTGGTGGTGACAGGCGTCGTTTTTGTCATCACAATTGTAGTCCCCAAGGTTGGAAGCTGATTTATTTGATTCAGCACAAAGGTTGTGGTGGATGGTGGTTGCTGGCAACAAAGAACCAGGGGGATTTTCAGAAAACAGTAAAAAAAACCCAAGTAGACTTTATTAGCCTTTCATCAACAGGAGACACCAGGTTTTAGAAGACACTTGTAATAAGAAATGACTTCAAATAACATGCTGAAGATGCCAGAGTAATTATCTTGTGCTGCAAGAAGCATCTTTCAATACATTGTTGCACATATTTAGGAAAGTTATTTTTAAATGTTATTTTAAGGTAAGGAAAATAAAAAACAAGATGAAGGATTCATCACCCAGGTACAAGACATGACTACTACAGATACAGGAACCCTGAGCTAAAGAGAATTCCCAATACATAAACTGCAGGCACCAAGGTCAGAGAAGGAGAGGGAGGAGGTGCTCCAGGTGCTGGAGCAGGGATTCCCCTGGAGCCCACAGTGAGGCAGGATGTCTGTCTGCAGCCCACAGAGGTGACAGTGGAGCAGAGATCCACCTGCAGCCCACAGAGGTGACAGTGGAGCAGAGATCCACCTGCAGCCCACAGAGGTGACAGTGGAGCAGAGATCCACCTGCAGCCCACAGAGGACCCCCTGCCAGGGCAGGTGGATGTGACCCCATGGAGAGGAGTCCATCCCAGAACAGGTTTTCTGGCAGGATCTGTGGCCATGCAGGAGACACAGCTGGAGCAGCTCATGAAGAACTGCAGCCCATGGGAAGGACCCACATTTGGAAAGTTTGTGAAGGAGTTGCAGAAGCAGAGGAGAAGCACGAGGAACGAGGAGCAGCAAAGACAACATAGGATGATGTCAGGATTGAAGTTGAGCCCAGGACAAAGGGAGGAGTGGAGGGAAGGTATTTTTAGATTTGTTCTTCTTTCTCATTATCCTACTCCATTGTTAGCTGGCAATAAATTCATTTCCCCAAGCTGAGGCTGGTCTGCCCAAGACAAATTGCTGATCTCCCTGTCCCTGTCTCAACCCAGGAGCCCTTCACCCCACGTTTTCAGCCTTTGTCCAGCTGAGGAGGGGGAGTGATAAAGGAGCTTAGTGGGCACCTGATGTCCAGCCCAGGTGAACCCACCACACCACACACACAAATCCTGGAGCACCAGTTCTTACCCGAACATTTAATAAGGCTGGAGTAGAAACAGTCTCTGGTTCTTGTTTCACAGCAGCTGCAGCCTCAGCCTCCAGGCCCAGTTCTAAGGCACTAAGAGGTACTGACTGCAGAAACAAAGCATCAGGAAACAAGTTAGCAGGAATAAAACCTCAAGGTTTCTGTTCCCAGGCTGAAACTGTTACAATCTGGCAGATTGAAGGCTATCTTGGAGCTTAAACCCAGTATTGTGTTACAGTTTTTGTGCATTTTATAGTAGAGAAGCCAGACTCCAGTGACAGAAAACTTCTCACACGTGACAGCATCCCCCACCTCATGTCCAGAAGTTAAGCTTATTTATGTTTGTACTGACCTGAGGTGTTTCAAATTGCTTTTCTGTATAAAGGTTTAAAATTATTAGCAAGTAATTTTCCCAACTCAGGACTGTGAAACAAGAAGTTCACGAAAACTCCACATTCTTCAAGCATTTGCTGTGAACACCACCCTCCCCACCCCTCCCAACACACCAAGCCCAAGCTCTCATGTCCTCTAGCAAACCCCTGTTCTTGTTTTAACCTGCTGAACAGCTGGAGTTGGTGCTGGATTTGCAAGAACCACGTCCGGAGAGTCAATATCAAAGAGATCATTTGGACTGATTCCACTCTCACTCAAAGCAGCAAGCAACAGATCTTGTCCTGGCTCCACCATCTCTGAAAAGAAAAAAGAAACAGAAGTGTAAATACAAGTTACATTTAATTTTGATCTATTTTCTCACAGCACTCCCTTTCCCGGATTTAGGTGCAGCCTCTTGTACACAGAGTTTCACTTTCTAGATCTGCTGGTTCTTTTGTTTGTAGGTTTTTCCTCTGTTTTGTTTTCAATAATATTTTTAATATACCCACCACATTTACAAGCAGGAAGAATTAAACAGTTTACTACAATGTTATCATGGCCATAAACTTAAAAACCCCACCTTTTCTAGTCTTTGTTGCACTTCATTTTCAAGCATCACAAGACACACCAAAAGCAGAAATGGTGAGACTGTGTTATGCTAATGAACTGTCTTTGTCAGCGAAGCAACGGCAGGAGGGAAGCACAATTAAACCTCATTTACTTTATCTTGTAACAAGTTAGTGATAAAGAGTTTAAGGAAAGCTTTTACTTCTTGCTTGCTGCTACATTAGGTTACATTCATTCACTGGAGAAATTTTGTTTGGCGTGGTGGAAAGAGCAAACGTGCCACTATGATAGTGTGTAACTATATATTAAATAGGACACCACCAGCAGGTCACAGGCTCCTTTATGTGGAGGACGAGCAAAATTAATTTCAAAAAGCTATTCTAGACAGTGTAAAAACTTATTAAAAAGCCAAATAGTCCATGTTTAAAGATGAAGAAGGAAGATAACGTGCTTCACTTGCTTAAGAAAGAAACCCTGCCTGAGCATTAAGACAAAAATTAAATGATTCCACAGAACTTGAGCTGCTGCCTTTACAGGTTAAGATACACCTCAAGTAGGTCTTCAGTTCACTTACTCTCCACACCCCCTTTACACCCACTGGTAACAAAAAACAAAACCCACCGAAGCCAAACACCTACTCTAAAGCAGGTAAGAGGACAAGAATATTTGTTGGCATTTTAGATACTCCTTCCCAAGTCTCCTGAACAGCATTCCCTTGCTTCTCCTTTGTACAGGCACAGCTCAGCACATCCAGCTGGCTGGTCACACATATTCCTCAGCACCTTTGGCAGAACAGGTAATTCTTGTAATAAGTTAAGCCTGGGGCACTTAATTCTTATTCTTCTTAGTTTTAGTCTGTCCAATGGCAGGGAGAAACCTTCCTGCAGTGGGTTCACACCAAGATGATGGCACCACAAGTGAAACAGTGGATCTGAGGTACTGGGACAAGGGGAAGATACACTTTTAAGCAAACATTTAAAGATACCCAAAAGAGTATCTAAGTAACAAACATTTGGCAGGACTGCTACTGACCACACACAACCCCATCAAACACCACTTGTCAGAACCAGACTCTTTGTTTTTAAAGGCATTTCAGGTGATCAGACAAATTGGCAGAATAGCCCGGTTTGTAGTTACCAGGTACAGAAGACATTAAGAAACATTAAGACACCTAGGAGATTTAACGAACCCACCAGCCTGTCTCCTGGAAGCCTGAACTGGTTGAGAAAAACGATTAAGAACTGACATTCAGCTTCACCTTTCAGAATGACTGAAGTTCCCATCTCAAAAAAGGGGATTATATACATTAATGGGGTAAGATAAAGCCTTCATTTTCCTCAGGCTAAAATCCTACCAGTGACCATCCCATCTAAGTTTAGACACTCACAGCATTGTTTACTAACTGGAAACCGGTGAGGGGAGAAAGGCTCAAGTGTGCAGAGGAAGTTTTTGCTTATCAGTAATTTTGGTGTTCAGAACTCAGGGCAGCCACCAAAGGTGAATTTCTCCACAGAAGGGGAATTCACACAAGTCACCCCATCAAACAGAAGCTCCAAAACACTCTACAATCATAACTTTACAGTATCCATTAGGAAGAGGCATGAACACCCTTAGACAAAGTGCTCAAAGGAGGAATAAACTGAAATCTTTCAGTGTCCAACAGAAGAAAGTGTCACTTGTGTCATTCTTTGGCCTGGATGGAGTTTTGATCTCTAAAGACAGATGACTAAAACTTGGTTGAGAGATAAGTGGCTGTACTGAATAGAGGCACAGAAAGTCAGAAGCTTGGGGTTGTTTACTTCAAGAAAACTAAGAGAAAAAAAATTACTCCAGATGACTTCTAGTCTACTCTCACAATGTACAAAGGAAAGGCCTTTCTATGAAGTTGAGACTCAAAACAAAACCAAGGCTAGAAAAAAACCCTCCCACCAACACCACACAAACACATCTGCCCCAGCCATCCTAAAATGGTGTCACCACCCATCAAGTCTCTTTTAAGTCAAGTTTAACATATCCATGATGACACTGAACTCCACCTTTTTAACCTTGAAAACCATGATGGCTCAGATATCCTAAGACAGTTTCACAGAGTTCAGAAGCAATGCTTTAACTCCTTATTTCCAAGTTTTCACTAGATGACTGGTGAGGGGAACCAGCAAAACAATTTCTACAACTCCAGGGTATCTCCAGTTCAGAGGCATCCCTCGGCACTGAGAAATCCCCCAGCTGCATCTCTCTCATGATAACCCCAATTTTAAGTCTTAAAAATTTGTAGTTGCTCACAATCCAGCAAAAAGTTCAGTAAAACAACTGCAATTGTTTGTCTGTCAGTTTGGACAATGGAAGTTTGACTAGTTTCAGTTATTTTGTTTCTGTACACCAGGAACAAAGCTGCATTGTTTGGAACAAAAGGAATTCTGAACTTCCAGAATTTTTACATTAAAAGTCACTGAATACTTAGCACCAATTTTAGGCTTTGTGTAACTTCCAAGCCCCACTGCTGCCCACCCTCCCTGTTTTAATTTAGCAAGGAAATTAAATGAGGAGAAAAATACAGGAGAAGCTGCATTGTGGTAGCTGAGTTTATTTTCTGTAACACATGCTGGTTAAGCCTAAAACATTATCAGGCTGAAACAGCTCCATAATCTTGCAAGGTAGGAGGCTCCTCAGTTAAGTGAAAAGTGACTTTATCAAGCTCTGCAGCTCAGCCTTGGCAATACTATATAAGGACCTGTTTGCCACATCTTCAAAATCTCCAAAAGAAAATACTTATTAAAAAGTTGTGAATATTACAAGCTGTTCCCTCAGCATTTCATCACTCCAAGAACTGTTTTGAGTGTGCAGAATCTTGCAGATAAGATTGTCTATGTTTAGTGAGGTTGTTCAATGTCACTGAGCAAAAATCAACCTATGAAATAAAACTAAAAAAAAAATATGTATAAAATGTCAACAGCAGTAGTTTCTCAATTATTTTCTTTGTATTAAGAAAAAATGTAAATTGCTGCCATTTCAAGAAGTGCTACCAGAACACACCAGGCATTTCTATAAGGTTCTCTTCTGCTGAAGAATACAGCCTAGAACTTTGATAAAAAGACAGTTTTGCTACCACTGTTTGGTATTATGTAAATAATTTCTGATTTAAAGACACAAAACCAGAATGTCATGTTTAATACTATGTCATGTATCCATGCCAACCTGGCTCTCTCCTTCCTTCCATTTTAGCTTTGGTACAAAAAGCAAAACAAAAAAGAAGAAAAAAAAGATTTTAAAACACATGTCGAGCAACCTGCTCTGTTTGCCCTGAGAAGGATAATGGTTGAATCCCAAAGAATGAAGTGGTTTCTGATTTTCAGGTCTGTGAGTTACACACTGTAACACTTGTATGCCTGAAGTGCTTATTTAAAAACCATAATCAATTAGAGAATCACAGGTTAGTCCAAATCAAACAGCACAATCAACCAGGCACAGCTATTCCCAAACCCTCTGGACACCTGGGCTCTGTCCTGAATCCAGCTGCAAACTCGGGTGTTAGTGCTTGGCCTGGGACACCGAGGGAGTTGGCAGCTCCTGCTCTCATTGTATTGGAAGGGTTTATCCCACTGGCTTTTTGAGGAATACATGTCACCCGGAAGCCATTTAAAATATCACACAAATACTGCAGTTGTAGAGACAACACAGACACGCCCCCCAAACTCCCTGCTAGTCTAAACTGGGAGTTATTAATGACCTGAAAGTTTCACATCTTCCTTTGCAGCCTCTCCCAACAGAGGTTTAAGGACTGTTACCCCCCACCCCACACAACAGGATTCTCTGGATATCCACGTGGGTTCTGCTCATCTCCCAGCTTTTGGCTCCAGAAGGCAACCTGGGCAACAACAAAAGAAAAAACCCAACCAACCCAACCCCTCCTGGCCCTTTCCAAGTCCCCATCCAATCAAAGAGTAAAACCCTAATTACTGAACTCACTCATCCTTCCCTGCCTTAACCCCAAGACCAGTAGTTAACGTTTCATTTACATGTGCAAGGTTGTTTTCACAAAAATCAGAAGTTAACTCAATCCTGGAAAAAATCCTACCCATCTTTCCAGTGTTGGTTACCTCTCTAAAGTCAAAGCCTGCAAGGACACAAGGGATAGTTCAGGGTGCTGTGGGATTACACTCTGCCTCAAAGCTCTTTAATGACTGTTCTGCAAAATTTACAGCAGTCAGGACACACTGCTTGAAAACGTGGAATTCAGAAGTTCTTCAAATATTAAGAGACTTTACAATGCAATGATTTGGCATGAAATCAGCTTTTAGACTAAATGGCTGGAGGTGATAATTTAACCAGTAGCAAAAGTTTTTAAGAAGTGAAAAGTCAAGGAGATAAGAGCAGCATGAGAGCACTACAACCCCTCCTTAGTTCTGGCCTGGGAGCCAGTTCCAGGTGCACCTCAGAGCACCAAAAATGCATTCCCTATATCCCTGACCTGCTCCAATAGCTTTTAGAGCAGCTCTCAGCCAGTTCTAAAAGCAAAGAAATTGTCTGGACAACAAGACAAACTGCCCACGTTTTATGTCTAAAGACTAAGATTGCATACAACTAGAACATCGTGGCTGTAAGGCAGATACAGAAAACCAATCCAAATGTCATGTTCTTACACAATTTCTGCCATAATAAATTCTTTGCTTTACATCATCAACTACAGTTCTTCAATTTTCAGGGAGTGCAGCTTGCAAAACACTCAGGTATTGAAATAATGTTAATCCAGACACAGTGCTGGTACTCTAAAGCCAAACAGGTTATCACTGAGTTAATTCTTAACTTTAGATCGTGTCGTTTGGTTACACCAATAATTTTATTTACTTGCTTTCCAGTTATCTAATAGATCAATTCAGAGGTATTTTTTAAGCATTTAAAAAATTGACCTCATCTGTAAGAGATACCAAATATCTAAAACCAACCTATAAGTAGCTGGAAGGAAGTACAATTTACACTCTCAAACTCAGTGTGGAACTTGGTCAGCTAAAAATAATAAAGAAATAACCTAAAAAAAAAAAAAAAGAAGAAAAACCCCGCAAGGAAGAAAAACCCACAAGGCTTCTTCCCCTTCAGACTATAGGGGCATTTCTACGTTAAATCATTACTCACCCTAGCAACCTGTGTTTGAGTCCCTGGACTTTGAGGCCGTGTCTGTCGCTGCGGTTCAGCTCCCCTGAGGCTGCGGGGCCCCGGGAGGGCTCTGCCGGGCGGGGAAGCCCCAGGGGAGGCGGCGGGAGGGCCAGAGGGTCGGCGGCTGCAGCCCTGCCACCCTCCCACCAACACGTGTTCGCGACATAAACTTCCGGGTTGGGGCCAGAATCGGCTGCGTAATCGTGTCCCAGGCGCGACTTTTTTGTTTCCAGACCTTCACCTCTTTGAACGTCCCTCCAGCAGAGCCGCGATCGCGGGGGAGGGCGGGAGGGCTCCGTCTCACGGCGGCTCTCGGAGCCGCTCCGGCTCCATAAATCAAACCCCCCCATCCCCCCGTTGCCAGCCCCGACAATCGGTGGCCGCGCAAGGAGCGCACAAAGGCGCGGGCCGGGCGGGGGGCTCTGCGGGGCGGGGGGGCGGCCAAACTCCCCCGCCGCCTCCGCCCCTGCCACAGAACGGGCTCCGCGGGACCCCGGGGGGGCTCCGCCGCCCACCCCCGCACGGCCCCGGGCGCGAAGTTCGCGGGACTCCCGGGGCTCGGCCGGGGCGGCGGCGGCGGCGTCTCCCCCGCCCTGGGGCCGCCCCCGGCCCGCCGGGACCCCCGCGGGGGCGGCGGCGCGGCCTCCCCGGGGCTGAGGCGCCGAGTGAGACGCGGCGCCGCTTCCGACGCGGCGCGTCCCCCCCCACCCCGGACACCCCCGCGGGCCGCGCTGAGGGGCTGAGGGGAGAGAACCCCGCGGGGCGGCCGCGGGGCGCAGCCGGAGGCGGCCGAGCGGGCGCGGCACCAGGCGCGAAGGGCGGCGCGGGACTCACTCTCTGTGGCGCTCCGTCCTCCCGTGGGCTCCTGGAAGTGTCCGCCGCCGGCCCCGCCGCCCGCCGCTTTCTAACTCACGGCCGCCATCTTTGCCCTCCCTCCCCTCACAGGGAGGGGGGGGGGGGGGCCGGGGCCCCCCCCCCCCCCGACCCCCGCCCCGCCCCCCCCCCCCCACGCGCGCTCCCCCCTTCCACGTGACCCCGCGAGCCACCGCCCCGCCGCTGGCGCGCGCTCGGCGCCACCACGTGACCCTCCCCGCCCCCCCCGCGCGGCCTCCCCGGTCACGTGGCCGCCGCCGCCGTCTCGCGCCCGCCCCCCCCTCCTTCACCCCCCGCCTCCCACCGCCGGGCCCTGCCGCGCGCTGCCCGCTCTCCCTCGCCACCGGACATGCCGCGACACGGGAGGTCCGTGCTCCCAGCAACGCGAACGCAGCAAGTTTCTCCACCCTCTAAAAAAAATAAAAAAACCCCGGCGAATCCACCGTCCTTAAAATAAGCGATGTCCCCGCGGGCGAGCCCCGCCCGCAGTCGAGCCTCGGCGCTCCGGGCCCGGTTCCCGGCGGGTGAGGGGGTGTGGGGGGGGGAGGGGAAGGCGGAGGCGAACGACTGCGAGCGGTCACGTGACAGCTGCCGCTCCAAGATGGCGGCCGCCGGCGAGAACGCGGCGGCGCGTTCTCGCGAGATTTGGCGTTTCTCGCTGCATCACGGGCGGGGGGGCGTGACGAGACCGCGCGTGCGCGTGTCCGTGAGGTGGGTGTACGCGCGCCCCCCGCCTGAGGCGGCGATGGCGAGAGCGGGTACGGGAGCTGCTGCGTGAGGGGAAAATGGTGTTACCTCAGCCTCCCCCCGGCCCTGCTCACGTCAGGCGGCCCCTCCGTCCCGTCCCGCCCCGCCGCGGTTGGTGCGAAGGCGCTGAGTCGGCTCTTAGTCCCCCAGTGCGGCCGGTGCCGCCCCGCCCTGAGGGCACCTCCACACCGTCCCCTCAGGGCCAACAACCGCGGTGTTCGGACACAAGAGCTCCCTGGGCTGCCCCAGGACAGAGGGACATCCCTGCCGACCCCCCTCCCCCTGGGAATGCCGCATGCCTGAAGATGTGCTGGCACAGGAGTTTCCCCTTTCAAACATCTCGCAAGCTGCCGATGTGAAATTTGCTGCTGCAGAGTGGAAACCCGGTGATCACTTCATGCTAGTTTTACATTTGGAGAGATCTTTTCAACTCTTGAGGCCCTCAGACTGATAGGCCCTCTTTTTGCCAAAAGAGACAACCTTCCATTAAAATGCTTTCCCAGTTGTGTAAGAATAGGAAAATTTGTAAGAACTTTCACACTGTATTGAAGCAAGACATGAATGAAGTGTGGGCAATCACGAAATTCCTTAGAATGTCCAATACAGATCATTTAAATTTTATGCAAGTTTGCTTATTTTATCATGAGACAAACTTAACAAGGATTAAAATAACCAATAAAGGATTAGACAGATTAAGGCTAAGCTATTTAAAGACAAAGCAATGTTAATTAAACTGACTTAAGTAATTCAGATTGATCAGTGATGCTTTGGATGGAGAAAAAGACGCCAGAAGTGTGGCCAGAGATGAGAAGAACAACTGAAATGGCAGCTTTTATTTTGGTTATTGCCCTCTCCACACTTCAGAGGAAGGCAGGATGAAGTACAGCTCAAGTGTGCTGAAAGGAACATTAAATCTCAACAGCTCTGCTCAGTCATGACAAGAAAGTGAGGGGTTTGATGTCTTGAGTTGAAAAGAGAGTTCCCCGTGAGGCCTGTGAGCAGAGTTTGTGATCATCCTCGGCTGGGAGAGGTGAGTAAATCCCACTGGTGAAAATGCTGCTTTCCATTGGCAGTGTGGAATTAGCACACACAGAGCTGTCTGCACGACCCTGTTTCAGAGGATTGTGCACATAATTCACAGATCTCACTGCACCTTTTAGTCAGGGATGATATTTTTTATAATTGGTACATTTTATTCTGAGTGTATTTTTATTTTATAACCTGTGAAATGCAGTTAGCACCTATTGGCGTTTCACTATATGACTTTGTAAAATAATGTTACTTAATGTAACTCCCAGCAGGTACTCTCGGGGCATTGTTTTCACTTGATTTCCAGGGTCTGAAGCACAAGTTGTGGGGATTTCATCTTGTGAAAGAGAAATTTGTGCAAATGCTGTCATGTTTATTCAACTGCAAATATGACTGGTGCTGTGTGAGAACTTGCTCTCACGTGGGAATATCTAACAAGCATCTTGTTGGTATGTCTGAAAGAAATTGAAAGTGTGATTTCAAAGGCAACCAATCTTAAAAAACGAGATTTTTTTAAACCGGGTGAAGCATTCATACAGAGTGAGGGGATTTATCCTTTCTGAGCAAATCAACGCCTCGTTCGCTCGTCCTTCCCTTCCCCCACAAAACAATTTCACATTTCCGCAGTAAAACGTGGTGCTCCCGGGAGCTGCTCATGCGGCACTACGGGAGAGAATATTTAGGTCACTGGGTTTTAGCTCTGGCTCTCGTGGGAGTCGCGCTGCTCCCTCTGGAGCTCAGGGATCGGCAGCGCTCTCCCATGTGCTGTCCTGAGTCCCGGGGACGGGCGGCTCCGATCAGACGCGTCTCTTTCGGGCTCTGTATGGAACGTTTTAACTTCCCCTCGGCGCTGGCGTTTGGTCGCAGCTCCTTGCAGCAAAGCCAACGTGTTTTGCTAATTCACGGTGCGATCCCACCGCGCCGGGAGCACAGGCCAGTTAGAGATGACGTTGTTTTCTTTGTTGCTCTGGGGAAGAGAATTCCTTGGCTTCCTTTGCCCTCTGCTGGTGGCCCGCGTGGCTTCGATGCCAATTCGGTTGCTTTGTTTAATATACATATATTATATATATAGATATATAAAATAAATATAAAAAAAATCCAAAAGCTGAGCAAAACCACAGTGAGGATGTCTCCCAAGATATTAGGAACAATGTTCCTCAATTACTGCAGAAGGAAATCATCATTAGTAATTGATGAAGATTTTTTCCAGTTGCATCCAAGATAAGAAGAGCATTAATTGGGGTGGAAAAACGCGAGCAGTGTCTGCACTGGTGTTTTTGTGGAGAGCTTGGAAGACCTGCCTTGATGGAGGAGCACAATGGACATGGATGGTCATGGACACGATGCCCAGTGGATGTCAACAGGGAAACACCTGATGTGTTTTGGTTGCCCTTCTGTAAAACTCATATGTTAGGGAAGACAGAGATGTAACAAATGACAGAGCCCATTGAGACCTGGGGTTGTTTGTCTCTCTGAGTGCCTCCTGTGCAGTCACACCACATTCCTGTTTTGTGAGCCCCCAACTGCAGATTGACAGCCCAGGAAGAATGAGGCCCCCTCTGGGCAGTTCTTGCTGAAGTTGACAGGGTTTTTTTCTGTTCTCAGGGAAAAGGAGAGTTTTCAGGTGTATCACCATCCCAAACCAGCAGATTATGTCACTGTGGGAATGCCCAAGAGACAAGCAGCAGCCTGTGGCTGCAGATAAGCGTTGGGTGGGAGGCCACCCCTGTGGTGATAACACTTGGGGCAGCTCCTGTGCCACCACCCCGTGTCCTGAGCACACACAGGTGCTGTTAGAGAAGGGTTGAGACAGATAAGAAGAAACAATAGTCATCTGTTGTTGCTCAACGTAGTTGTTCTACTTTTCATGGAGCACGAAAGTGGTAATATCCTGATTTCCATGATGGCATCCACTTGACATCCATCCAGATCCCTGATCCGTGTGTGCTCTTGCCTCATTGCTGTGTTACTCATTGCATTTGCACTTTCCTAATTTCCAAGTGTTCACACTGGTCCTGCTGGCAGCTTCTGACCAGGGCATCGATGCTGGAGGCTGTTCCAGTTCTCCTGGTGATGGGGGCGGCTCCGTTGATGTCCCACCTTGTGGTTTTGCCAAGCTTTAGGTGCCCTCCTTATGGAGTAGGAGACGACACGGGAAGAGCTTTGATGCGACACTTGAGTATTATCTGCTCTCCAGGCAATTTTTGAAGATGGAATGAATAGACTTAAATTTCAAACAGAGCGATTTAAGACAGAAATTGCGTAAAGCAGCCTAATAATTTCAGAGAGCAGTTTTACAATCCCGCCGGGAATAGGGGTCCCCCGGATCCCCGCTGCGAGGTGGCGGGAGCTGTGTGTACCCGGAGAGGCGCAGGAGGGAGGAGGCGCTGGCGGGGTCGCTGCAGGAGGTGCCGGTGCCCGGTCAGACCGGACGGGACGGGGGTTCCGGGGAGGTCCAGGACAGGACTCACCCCCGGCCCGCCGGGTCCGGGTCCCGCTGCTCCCGCTCGATCCAACGCACGTGGCGCGGCCCGGCCGGGGGCGGGGCGTTCCCCGCGGGGCTGCCAATCAGAGCGCCGCGTGCTCTCCGTGCGGACCAATCAGCGCCCGGGGAACGCGCGTTCAAACCCCGTTCCCGGGAGCTCCCGCCACCGCGGGGTGACAGGGAGAGGGCGGGCCGCGGCTCCGCGCGCCAATCAGAGGCGCGGGGCGGGTGATCGGCAGGCGGTTGGGCCAATGGGGTTGCCGGGGCAGCGCGGCGTCTCCCCGCGGAGTCCGGGCCGCCGCCGCCAACCGCCCCGCGGGGACAGCGGGGCCCGCCCGGCGCGGGGCTGCGGGGCCGCCGCCGCCGCCATGGCCGGAGGTGCGCGGGGCGGAGCGGGGGCGAGCGGAGCGGGAGCGGGCCCAGGGCGCGGCGGGCGCGGGGCGGGGGCCGCGCGGCGCGGGGCATCTCCGCGGCGCGGAAGCTCCTCCCGGGAGGCGCGGGGCGCCGGGGCCGGCGGGACTCCTCCCCCGCGCGGTGTGCGCAGCTCGTCGGGAAGGGGCTGGGCCGCCGCGGCTCGCCCTGCCGCATCCAGCCCTTTAAACATGGCGCAGGCCGGGGCGGCCGGGCGATGACCGCGGGCGGCCGCGCCGGACATGGCTCAGGCGCCGACCTTCCCCCCTCGCTCCTAGGGAAGAACATGCCCAAGACCAGGGCGGGCGGCGCGGAGAAGGCGAGCCCCGAGAGCGCCGACAGGAAGGGCCCCGGCCGCCCCCGGGCCGGCGGGGTAAGCAGTGCCCGGGCCTGGGCGGGCGGAACGGGGCGGGCCATTCCCGGGGGGCTCCTGCGCTCTCCGCTGCCCCCCGGGGAGTTGGGAATCGGCGGGCGGCTGCCCCGGGGAACCGCGGAGCCTCGGGATTCTGGGGTCCTGCAGTCATTGAGAAATCGGGTAACTTTAGGTAGAGTCGGTGTCTTCCCGTGGTTCCCCTGCGAGCAGCCAGGCCCTAGCCCCGGCACTCCCTCCGTGCCATCTCCCCCGTCCTGCAGTTCTGTCGTAGGCAGCTGGCTGGAGCTTTGATGGTCGCTTTGCATTTAAGGCCCAATGGAGATAATTGTGGCTGTTGCATTAAACCCCGGAGCCACTCAGAGCCCTTCGTGTGCTCTGCCGTGCTGGGAGAATCTCTGCTCTCCAGGGTCTGCAGCCTGGCAGAGACAAAGACGTGGCAGCCGCGTCTCGGTAGCGCCCGGAGCGCAGCGGGCAGGGAGCTGGGAATGAGGGGAGGAAGCTGCGCTGGGAAAATAGCTGTTGCTTTCCTGTGTGTTCAAAGCCTGAAGGCTCAGCTGGCAGGTGGACGCTGCACTTTGCTGCTCCGGGCTTTCTCCCAAAATGCCCATATTTAAACTCTTCACTAAATCTCGAGAACTTTGCAGCACAGGGTTTATTGCTTGCAGCTGATAGAATGGAGTGTTTTTGTAGTATTTCGTGCTTCAAAGCCCCAGGTTTTTAATAAGCAGGTTTTGTCTTTCATAGGTCTTTGAGAAATATGGGGGGTCAGGGTGTGTCCACCTCACTTGCTTTTTATCACAGTGTTCTCTCTGTAATGCTAATCTTCACTAAAGTATTGGTGGACTAAGGTTTGAGCCTTTAAACTGGTCTTATTTTGTGTGTCAATTATGTACACAGGAAGTTTGTTATTCACGATTATGTTAATTATTAAAATTATCCTATGTGTTGTGTGCTCTTTTTTCAGTGTATGTGTGCCCAGGTGTACAGAGATGTTTGTTTAGTCTGCTGTATTTGAGTTATTCTTTTTAACTAATGAGAACCATTGTTCCTTGCTTTCCTAAAAAAATGGAAGCACGTTTTTGTTATTTTCCCTGGTTTGCAATGTCTGAAAATTGCTTTTAATTGAGGCAAACTATAGCCAAGAAAAGCTCATTTTGGCCGAGTTGCATCTGTTTGCCCAGACCCTGAGATTTCAGGGTTGAAATCCGACATACACTGCCCAGGCAAAGGGAGTCAGGTGGCAGGAGGCTGGAAAAGCAAAGGTGACACGACTCCACTAAACTTTGCTGAATTTGACACTGTTCCCTGGAAGTGTCTTGGAGCCTGAGCCAGGAAACAAACCCCAGGCTCTGGTGTTTGGATGCCAAAGGGCTTTGCCATTTTCCTCACTGAGCTTGCCATTCTTCAGTGTTGTTTTTTTTTTTCATTAACAACTTTTACACTTTATTTTGTGACATATAATGGATAAATAAATAGCACTGTTTATCCCCCAAGCTTCCTTGAGAGGTGTCACTCAAGGTAGAGTGTAAAACTGATTCCTGTCTTCTGTGCTGCTCAGTAGAGCATATAAAACTGCAGTAACATCTGACACCTCCTGGGAGTAGCTGGTAGCTCACAGTCTCTGGCTATGAGGGGTCTGTGCTGGGCTTGGGCAATTTTTGCTGTGTCTCTGTATTTTATTTGGCTGCACTCTCTGAGCCGCCTTCCTTCCAAGGAGCTTGGGCTTGGGGTTTTTTTTAGCACCAGAGTTCATGCTGTGAAGCACAGGGCGGAGGCTGGAGTTGGTTCTGACTGCCTCATCCTGCCACATTTCATGTGAAAGCTCTCTCAGACTGAGAGTTTGCACCAGTGAAGTTCTCACGGTGCTCACCACTGCTATATTTTTACTTAGAAACAGCAGCTGCAGCATTAAAGCAGCATAATTTGCATCAGCACAGTCAGCTGTCAGCCCTGTGGATGCCAAGCTGAAGTTCCTGCAATCTCTGTGATGTACTGATTTTTGTGTGGGTCTGTTTTAGGAGAATGTGTTTATTGGCCAATCCAAAATCTACAGCTACCTAAACCCTAACAAAGCTCCTGGTGCTCGCCCCCCGCTTCAAGAGGAAAACTCTGTCATGTATCACGAGGTGAAATGTCAGGGCAAAACACTAAAGGAAACCTACAGGAAAGGAGCTGGTAAGATTGAGTTTTGGATTCTTATCTTGTTACATGTGCTCCCCCCACCCACAATTTGAAAACTTTAATACACAGTGAACAAGGCTGGGCAGCTCCCCGGGCCCAGCAGCTTTCCCAGTCCTCCACTGCCAACTCTACTGGCAAACTGGGACTCTACAAAGATGGGTGTGTCCTGATCCTTTTCAAAACTTCAGTCATATGCCCCAATTTCCCTACAATTAATACTCTGCTTCTTCGGGTCAGTGCTTGGCAGTTTGTCTAATTTTTTGGGATCTGCTTTATTACCTAAAACTGGCTTATTCTGTAATTTGACTAATTTATAGAAAATCATATCAGGTATGAGCTTGAGGTACTTGTAGGAGAAGAAACAACAATTGTCAAATTTTCAGGAAGAAATAAAAGGAGTGGGAAGGAGGAGCAGAGAACTGTGAATGCTGAGTGCCAGGGTTCATAGGGGCTTCATTGTAGTGACTGGAAATGGGAATGTTCCATAAGTTTGTGGAGAGGAGATAAAACTCAGATGGCTTGTGTTTAAACACATATTTTTAATAACCTTGGTAATTTATCAAAACATTTTGATGCAAATGCTTTTAGCCAGCAGGTGTTGTAAGTCCCTCTCAACACGGCAAGTGCCAGGTTTTCTGCAAACTCAGGGCCTTTAGCTCCTGATTTGGCTCCCCAGTTTTGACAAGGAAGTGAAGATGGCTTTGGCTTGTCCCTGTGCTGAGGCCTTGCAGCTGTGCTTCACTTCTCCAGGGAGTCTGAAACATCTGGCTCAGCAGATGGGACTGTTCAACCTGGGCATTTGCTCTCCATGAAAACCTTATTCAGCTTTAAGCCACACTCACCTGCCTCTGCAGCAGCTGTCTGAGCAGGAGGATGTGGTGTAGGGTAGGAGCAGAACTATAAACCACTGGAATTCACTTAAAGCACTCTGGTATAGCTGGTCCTGAGCTCAGAGCCTTACTTTATTTTCCTGTCAGCAGGAAAAAAGAATGGTGGCAAAATAGTTGAAGGTGCTATGAAAGCAGAAGAACAGAAGGATAAGGAGAGTGGGTGCAATCCTTCAGTGCCCTCTGATCAAAACCAAGAAACTGCAGAAACCCAGAAGCCCCCCCTGCCTGCAGACTGTGCTGAGGAGGCCAATGCAAAGCCAGCTCAGAAAAAGATGGTAAAAGCAAAACGTGGACCAAGGAAAAAGTAAGTGACTTGTGGAATTGTGAAAGTAGAGCTCCTTGTGTTCTTGGGAATATTAGACTTAGAAACCCCACAAAATCTCATCAAAGTATTGATCTACCTTGCAGAGGTTCTTGTTTCTCTTGAAAGCAAGGTCAGGGTATTTTATCACAAGTGAAATATTTGCTGGTCACCCGTGGAAAAAGAAATTAATGAGCCATTAAGACCTACTTTTCTGTGGACAAATGGGAATGTATCTTATCAGAAACAGAACAGTTGGAGGTTTCCTGGCTGAGCTGATCCTCTTTCTCATGGTATCAGAGTAATGTGACCTAACATTAATGAATTCCTTGCCAAGCAGTTTTCATGACCTAAATTTTCGAGTACCTTCTAGCAAGGCACACAGGGGGCTCCAGACTTGTGATGTGACCTTCAGTTTATTTCCAATGGTATCTCATTTTTATTGTTGTTAGTACTGGAACAGTGGAAGTAGTGTGGGGGAAAATGAGAGTACTTGAAGAGTACTGATAAGAAACACTGATTCATCTTGGTCACCTTTCAACATACCAAGCTGAAAATAAAAATTTCTTGCACATACCTCTGTCCTAGAGGTGTAACTTCACAAATAGTCTGAAAAGTGTGTGTGTTCTCTCTTTCTTATCCCTCAGAACACAAGGAAGGACACCAAACCGAAAAGTGACAGATTATTACCCAGTTAGGAGAAGTTCCAGGAAGAGCAAATCTGAATTGGAGGTAGTGCATCTTGTTTAAATGACATTACTTCTAACATGGCTGGTTAGTTGAAGATTTGAGGAAGTGTGTAAATATCTGTAAATGATTTCCAGTCTAAGTACAAATAACACTGTGCACTGGAAGTACTGTTAAGAACATGCTTAAAATTTGGAAATGCTGGTCCAGTTCTAGGACAGAATGCAGCTGCTTATGTAGAAATCTGTCTCTCTGCCACTCAGTTTTGCTGGAAATATGGGATGGTCTGGAACAATGAGTGTCACTGGCTAGTAATGCCTTTCAGCTCTAGAACACACTACAAAAGTTGTGGTTTTGTTTGTTCTCGTTTCTTCTGCAGACTGAGGAGAGGAGGAAAATAGATGAGCTGATTACAAGTGGGAAAGAAGAAGGAATGAAGGTAACTGCAGTGTCAACCAACAAATGCTCTTAGTCTGTGTACAGCCCATTGCTGTGGGTTTGCAGTCTGGCTCTTGGGATGATGGGTAGTACTGGTTTTCCTCCCACTGCTGTCAAATGCAGTTATTGAGACCAAGAGCTTACCTTTGGGTTGTTCTGATCACCCCTTTTAGAATTTAAAGCAGAAATGGCCCCTGGAAGTGCAGAAGAGCTGTGATTCTTGAAAAGCAGCAGCCTGTAGATAAAGACAGTGATAGGACTTCCTTGGAGTTGTCCAATTTACAGGGGGAGACAGGAATACTAAAGTGTACTGGTGGCTGATAAATGTAATTTTTGTAATCAATCTTATTGTTCCTTTAACTTTCTAACCTGTGTATGCTAACATGCACATGAAATGGAAAAGCTCACTGCCCCAGCTCATAGGGAGTTTAAAAGAAAAAACAGACACAAAGAGAAGAGTTAGGGTTTATTTAAAGTAATTCTTATTTCTCTAATTAGAAGCCTTTGTATCAAACTACCTGGTAACCTGGATGAATCCCAAACTCATCCTGTGTTTCTTCCACAATGCCAGGCAGCTTCTTCAGCTTTGTCTGCAGTTCACACAAAAATTCCCTTTGACAGCATTTTGTAATGACAAATCACTCATTTCCTCGTAATCAGCATATTTGCAATCATGTAAATACTTTCTAATTTCCCAGCTGATTTTCTTTTCAACTCTCCAGATTGATTACATCGATGGCAAGGGGAGAGGAGTCATTGCTACTAAACATTTTAATCGAGGAGAGTTTGTGGTGGAGTATCATGGGGATCTCATAGAGATCACTGATGCCAAGAAACGGGAGGCTGTGTATGCTCAGGATCCATCCACGGGCTGCTACATGTACTATTTCCAGTACCTCAGCAAAACCTACTGGTAAGCTCCTCTTCCCTCAAGTGTTGGCTCACAGAGGCTTTGGATGCCACTAAACCCTGTCTTGTTTTCATGCAAGTTTTGTGTTTTTAATGAGAACCGTGAATTATGAAAATCTTGGGGAGCACTGATCTATGGTCCAAGAGCCCCCTCCAAGTCTGGGCTGGTGGGTGACTCAGAGCAGTTTTCTCTGAAGTGCAGCACAAGCTGTATGGAGAGTTGTATCTGCTTGGATGAGATTTCTAGCCTTGCTTATTCTCTTCTAAAACTAACTCCTTTTTCTGAGTTGCAGGGATTTGGTTTGAAAAGCAGGATGGACATACTCTCTGGAAGAGAGGCATTTCCTTCAAGTGTCTTTGAGTGGGTGTCCTTGTTTTCCCAGCACCTGACAGCCACCCCAGATTCGTGCTTTATGTATTTGCTGTTTCATTTGCCCCAAACTCCAGGTCTCTAAAAGTAACTACTCTGACTACCTTCTTTCCTCCTTGGCTGATCCTACTGGATACTGGAGCATAGGTCACTTAACCACGTGTGTGGCCTATTAATTACCTTGAAGTGCCCTATATTCTAACTGCCTTGATAGCTGCTGTAACACTTCTTTGTGCAATGAGGGGCACTAGAGCTGGAGTATCCAGGTCTCTGGAATTTGGGCATGTAGTATTTAGGCATTCTCAGCCTTCCTTTTCCTGATTTACTTTTGCTGGTTTACTCAGTAAATATACTTAGCTTGGACACGGCTTTCTTGAGGGGAGGATATTTAAGGTATCCAGCCTTTCTGATGGTGTCTTACATCTGGATTCAGCTATTCCTGAAAAGAGGAGCTCAGTCTAGAGTTTTCAGTTTTGTGCTAAATTAAAAACCTCCCAGATTGTTTTAGTTTCCCTGCATTATTGCTGTCTGTTTAATCACGGTTGGTCTGTAATGTTCTGTTTCTCCTTCATTTTCCAAGCCTTGTGGGGATTCCTCATTCTTTATCCTGTTTGCACTTGGGTTTTGGTCCACAAAAACTGTTCTTGTTCTTTCAGTGTCGATGCTACAAAGGAAACAAACCGTCTGGGAAGGCTCATTAATCACAGCAAATGTGGCAACTGTCAGACCAAGCTCCATGACATTGATGGTGTTCCTCATCTCATCCTCATTGCTTCCAGGGACATTAAAGCAGGTGAAGAACTCTTGTACGACTATGGAGACAGGAGCAAAGCTTCCATTGAAGCTCATCCATGGCTGAAACACTAATTCATCTTCTTTGTTTTGTTTCTTTTTTTTCCTGGACTGAGTGTTCTACAAGAAGTCTGGATTTACTTCTCCTGCCCTCACGTCCCTCAGCTTTCTTAGTGGACTGCTTGCGGTCTTCCGAGCTCCTTACAAACTACCTTTTTGCTTTGCAATATTTAAACACCTATTACAGTTTTCCAGGCAGGCTTCAATAATTGATCTTAGATTGCCAAACCTTTCGTATCATAAAAGGAAACCCTCCCTAAAATCTGAATGCTTCTGCACAGTGACCAGTGCCACTTGAGCAGTCAAAGACTTGCACAGAAACTTAATCACTGGGGTTGTGCTTCTGCTTTTGCAAGAAAATCTCACGCTCCACTTTGGGGTGATGAACTCGGCGTTAACTCTGACAGCAGAAGTACTTCTGTACTCTGTTCATGTGGTGGCTTGACTGCCTGTCACACTGCTGTTCCCAGCCCAGTGCTGACAGGCTTCTCTGGCATGGATGCTACTATCATTCTCCAATAATTTGTGGTAGGAATCCAGTTTTTTCAGTGTCGTATAATCTGTTGGCAATGAACTTTAAATGCACTGGCACTGAGGAAAAAAGGATGGTCAGATTGGCTGCTTTCTTTGGAGAAATGACTCCCAGCCAAACAAGGATGGATTTTGATAGTCTGGGCGGATACTGAGTACAAATGTGAAGATAGAACTTCACAATGAGAATCAATGTTTGACATTACTTATTTTCTAAAATTTAAGAAGGTACCTTTTTATATTGATGGCTGATTGTTGGAGGTGTCTCCCAGAGGATTTTAAAGTAAAAGCTCTCTCCAAAAATTTTTGTATTACCTTCCTATGCTAATTAGCCACATCAGAAGCTATTTATTTACTGTGAATGCTTGAAGTAGAGCATAGCGGTTCCAAAAATAGGAGTCCTCTTCATGTGCAGCTTCAAAGTGTAACAATGAAGTTCATGCAGTGAAGAAAGTAGATTCCTTATTGCCTGGTCCTGTAGGTCTGTCCAGCATGGTCTGGTCCCACTGTGTTACGTGGGAGTCAAGCGCTTGGCATCTCATGGATGTTGGAATGTTACTGTTGGAGAACCAAATCTGGGATATAGGCAGGCAATACAATGCAGGTCCTTTATGTTAAAGATGAATTCTTACCAGTTGGAATTTTTGCCAAGGCAGGCTTGGCATGTGTGTAGATGAAAATGGCTGTGAGCCATCAGCCACACTTGCTGCTGGAAGATGTCAGCAAGGAATCTGTGGCTCTGTTAATGTCTTCTATTCCTCATGTCTTGAAGGCTGCTGCTGTTCCAGCTGAATGCCCTCTAGGACAATCTTATGCTTGCCTATGTGATAGGTCAGATAGCAACAACATCCTGGTTGTGTGCTCCAGCAGCAAGAGAGGTGGCTTAGTGATGTATTTTTTAAATTAAAAACTTGAAGACAATGTCTCTGTAAAATAAAGAATATATTTATTATTGATGAAGTGGCTGCTATACTACCTGTCTCCATTGCAGTTCATGAGCATTGGAAAGAAAGCTGTGAAAATCATTAGCTATTAAATGCTTGATATTTACTGCTTAACACAAGGCAAACTCGGCAGAGCCAGCCTGGGTATGTTCACATTTCTGAAGGAGTAACTGGAGACCTGTTACCTTCCATGTACTGAGTTTCAGGTAAGATAAGGCCAACTTAGCTGAGCTGGCACTGATTTTTCTCTGGTCTCAGTAGCAGAGACCTCAGCAGTGTGTACAGTATCCCCTTAAACTAGAGCACTTCCCTTAAGTCAAGATTAGAGTAAAATGATTCTTTTTATTTTATTTAAACGTTTACTTGTCCTTTATCAGGTTGAATAGCTTAAAACCTCTGTTCTTCAGCATCACTTCTGTAAACAAAAAAGGGAATGATATTCCTGTTTTACATAAAAACAAAGTTGTCTTCTCTGAAAGGGTTAACTGATAATGGAGTAGCACTGGGTCAGATGGAAATAAAGCTGATGTTGCACTGCATATGTATCCTTGACTTTCCTAGGAACTGAGGTATCAATATATTTCTCACAGAAACTGCCATTTGGATGTTTATCTCTGTCCCTCTTAGGAAGAATTCATCTTCTAATGTGGTGTAAAGCACTTCTCGGTGCTTACAAGATGTCTTTGGGTTGGGAGCTAAACTGCCCTTTTTGAAGGAGACTGGAAAATACATTCCTGGATAAAGCACAGGAGGATGGAGTTCAGAGCACATCTCTTTTCAGCTCAGAGGTGTATCCTGGCTGTTGTTAATTCGTGATTGTTTATTTATTTATTTTCCAGCACAAAGCCTCTGCTCAGGCAATGCAGTAACTTCCTTCCCTGCTGCCCTGCTTTACAAAATACATCATGAGGGCATGGCTAAGATTGATATTTTGAAGATGGCAAAATGATTTCAGCAGTTCATACCCTGCCTATACCAGGTGGCTGAGGTCAGACCTCTGTGGTGGTGCCTTCTCATGCACAGTTGCCAAGGAACTCTGAAGGGAGGCTGCAGCTCTGCCTTCTGCTGAGCCACACTCACATTGTGCATCCCAGCAGTTGTGTGAAGTGTCCTATATTTCTCATGCTGCCAGTGTGTGAGAGGGAATCAAAAGACTTCAGAGCCTGCTTTCACTTCTGAAGACAGTAAGATCAGAGTTTGATACCTGTCACTGCTTCTTTTATGTCTATTCAGGCTTTTCTGCTCTGGATATTCTACCTTTCTAAATGGGGAACCTAACTGGTGTCTTTCAGGCTTCTTTTCCCACTCCTCTGTTTGCCCTATATCCTTCCACTGGTGAGAAATCTCATTACTGGGGCAAACACACAGCTTGTGGCAGTTGATGAGAAGAAGAGAGCTTATGCAAAACACAGCTGCCTTCCCCAGGAGCCCTCAGCTGTCAGAAATGAGGTGTTTGGTGCATCTGTTCCTGCCTGAGCCTTTCTGCACCTCAGTCCTTCATGTGGGCAGAGCACGAGGCAGCAGCTTTCCTTCCCTTGCTGTGCTCTTCTCCACTATCATTCATCTCAACCCCAAACAGCCACTTGGGAATGCCATGTATCTCTTAAATATCATCTCCATTTTGCAAAATCACTTGGGTTGAGTGCTTTGATAGCTGGACAGGGTAAATATGTTGTTCTGATCATCACAGGCTCCTTTAATAAGAATAAACCCCACCTGTGTATAAAGGTTTATTTTCTACATGTGGGTAATATCTGACAGGAACCAAGAAATACAAAAAGTGTCTGTTATAAACAGTTTCTGAAAAAGCAGAGTAAAAACTATTCTGAAAGAATATTATACAACAGTTTTGATGAGGTTGCTCATTCTCTGCAGCAGGAGTGGTGCTGCTTCTCCCAGCCCTTGTCTCCTCCCTCATCAGTGCCGTGCTCAGCAGGAGTCCTTGAGGATGCTCATTTTCCATGTTTAAAAGAAAACCTAAAAACATCAACAAGAGAAAGGAAACAATAATGTACAACCGGAAAAGCAGTTGGAAATGCTGTGAGTGGCTGTGTCAATGTGCTCTGCTATTTTGGGGAACTTTAGGGACACGGCCTGAGCTCGTGGGTACTGTGTACAATGAAAACAAACCTCCAGGGCCAGTGTGTTCCCACAGCACAGGCCTGAGGTGCTGGCAGGGGAGGCAAATATTGCATTGCTTTGCTCTGAAATACTTGTTTTTCCCTAAAAAAAAGTGACTCTCTGCTTGCCTGGGTGGAGGTTGCCTTCCTGTGGAGTGCTTTTTCCACAGGAAAAGATTTCCTTATCAGGTTTTTAACTTTATAGGGGGAGCAAGAGAAAACAATATCCAGCCAACTGGGCTAGAGTTCAGCATCCATCCCTGGATTTGCTGTGGTTGAGGGTGCCGTGTTCTCCCAAATTCTGCCCAAAAAGCTGCAGACAAACTTACAGCCGTTTGATGATTGTCTTCTCCCCACTGTCCTTGCTGGTGCCAGCACTGCTGCCACTGCTTTCTTTTTCCAGTTCTTCAGTTTGGTCCTTTCTCTGTGAGATGATCCCACTGGGAAAAGAAAGGGGTTTGTTTATTTTTCGTGGGTTTGTGCATAGTGACAGTGTGTACATGTTAAACCCTGTGAGCTGGGACAAGGATGAATGGGAGTTCATGGGACAGGGATGGCAGCCTGGCCTCTTCCTTGTAGTGAATGGAAAATAATGAACTGTTATCCCTAAGTATTGCAATGGGGCTATGCTTTAGTGAGAACACTAAAGTAACAAGATGACTTCTTCACAGAAGAAAACTGGCAAATCATAATGGGAGTGAAAGGGATGTGGAATTACACATTGGATATGTAGGGAGGTCCAAGGATAACAGGATGGTGCAGACACACAAAGTGAATTCCTGCATGGGTGGATCTGTGGTACCTTCAGCACAGCCACCAAGGCTGGGAACACATGGGATATTCCCAGCTCCCCTGCAAGGCAGGTGCCTGTTCCTCTTTCCACCCTACAGAGGAGAGAAGAAAGGCTTTGCCTCAGCTCTCAATTGTGTGATCCTACTTGGCTCTTCCTACACTCCACAGGTTGTAACCTCCTGCTTCAGGCACCAGCTTCAGCTTTACCAAAGGAGTTTTCCCTGCTTGGAACCAGGTTGGACTTTCCCAGCCTGCACACTCAGTGTTTTCACAGCCTGCCAGTCACTGTCCTGAGCTGACCTCATTTGTTGGGAGAGCTGAGTGGATCAAAGCCTGTGCCTGCAGGAGCCAGAGGCTGAGAGCAGCCAAGCAACACTTGACTGGGTTTGGAAGCACAAACACAGAGTATCTAGAAACTGGTGTGACATCAGGAATGGGGTAATTCTGGGGCAGATTCTCCTCTTGGAGAAAAAGGACTATGAGCTGTTTGGTGACACTGCAGAGCTGTAATATCTGCACAACTTCTACCTAGAAATCACCATGAAAACTGCAATCCCCAAACACCATCAGTGAGTGTGAGCCAGTCCTTGCTTGGGAGGATGTTTGGTACCTTGTGCTAAACTGAGCTTATTTCCTGTGTGCATAATAGAGCTTATTTCCAATATACACAAGACATTTTAGATCATATATTTATCCTCTTCCCCTGCACAACAACTCTTTATGGCTGTACAATTACAATTAGAATTTTATGTGACTGTTTAAAGGGAAGATGGACTTTGGCTTAAGCTACAGCAGTCTACAAGGAGATAACCTCATAAATTACTTGGACTGAAAAGCAGCACTGACACACTCAGTGCACAGCACTGTGACTGAAATCACTCAAAACCTGAAAACATTCCCACTGTTAATTTTTAACTTGGCCTGTACTAAGCTGTGTAACAGTTGGGAAATCAAAGCAAGAAGCCATTTCACTGGCTGCACAGCAAAGCATTCAGCTGAGCTGGGGAAGTGCTGTCAGGCAGTTTGTAAATTCTTGGATTTAACTTTTAACTTCTTGGCTTAACCTGCCTGTTACAGACCAGACAAAGGGCAGGGTCACTGTATCCTGGAGGCTGTTGCTGAGATACTTCAACTGAAATCTGATGTGCTTATTTTGTGTCCAGATTAAGAAGTAGTTTCTTGCTCCAAAGAGTTTATAATCTAATCTGAGGATGGGCAAGGGTTGAAGAGAGCAGCCTTGGGGGTGAATGAATTTGTAGCACCAAGAGCAAGACCCTTCCCTCATCCCACGCTCTGGCTCACACAGGTTCTCCCAGGCTGTTCCCTTTGAGAAAGACCAAACCCTCCTCTCAAAGCACTTGTTCTGCACAGTTCAAGTGCCTTACACAACCCTCTGTTGGCAGTCCTTCTCTTGAATGATGAAAGAGCTCAATATTCTGTCCCTAGAGCAGTCCATACCCCCATGGGAGATAAGGCAGTGTCCCCACACTGCAGGAGGAAGGAAACTTTGACTCAAGCTGAGCTGGAAACCCCCATGCTCTTTGGTGTGTGGTGTGGCTTTGAACACTGTGTGTGTCCAACTGCTGTGACTGCACAGATGGATTCCTGTGCACGGGAACCCATTGGATGGGGAGTGGGAGTAACTGTGCGTAGGGGACAACTCTGGGAACAGGCTGAGAACTGTGCAGAGCAAAAGGGAGTTTAGTTTTAAAATTATGTTGCATAGAGACTTCATTGTTCCCCTGTTTTTCTTTGAAAGCTTTCGGGAGCACAGGTGTCTCTTACACGCCTGGGCAGTGCCTGGCCCAAGCCTGCCATGTTCTCGTCTGATAAGCTCCCCAGACAAGAATTAATTAATTGTTACTAGTGTTATTAATTCTTTAGTGCCTTCATGCTGTACCTCTTATAGCACTGTAGCTCCTCTTGCACCACCAGAAGCTGAGCTTTCAGCTGGTTTCTCTCTTGCAACACATCTCTGAGCTCCTGCAATGTGAACCGTGGCCGGTTGGGATCTGTGAGGTCAATCACCATTTTATCTGGTCCAAGGCTGACCTGGAAAAGAAACAGTGCTGGTCATGATCTTGTAACCTCTCAAAACCATGGAGTAATTTGTAGGACTAGTACAAGTTGATCACAATCCTGATTTTTTTCCCAAGCAGTTAATTATAGTTCTTCATATTACTTTTGTATTCCCTTGGTGACTGCATTTCCAGCCCCAACTGTGACAGACTCTGACCACAGCTAAAAGCAATGTCTCTGTCCCAAAGTGTTTGCAATTTAGTTTGCCAAGAAGCTGCTTTTATCAGCTTTTCTGATGGTGGGAGAGGCCAAGCAATCTAACATCACATCTGTGGCAGAGATAGGTGAGAACTGAATTCTCCTTTCCTAATTTAAGACCTTTGTGGTAATGGCTTCTTTTTGGTCACAGTTTCTCTTGCACAGAGTAACGAAGCTCCAGCGTTTGCTTTGTTTGGCAAGTTGTTTCATGTGGGGCCGGTGCTGTGTGAGAACTGAACACGGTGGGTTTGTACCCGGTGAACTCTGTGAGCGCCTGAACAACTGTGCTGGCACCGCACGTTGCTGAGATAAAGCGGTGAAACGGGAGCGGGGGATCCACAGCACTGTGACCTGTAAGCAGCCCACGGGAAGAGCTCCAAGGCTTCATGGCCAAAGACGGGAATTGACATTGTGAGACTCGTTCTGCTGCGGCAAAAGAGACCACGAGCGTCCTCCGGCCCCTCTGGTGTTGCTCGGGGTGGGCTCCACGACCCGCACGCGTCCGGCCCGTGTCCCTGTGCCCCGGCCGGTCCCGCACCCACCTGCGGGGCGCTGCCTGGGGCCGCCGCCGCCCGCAGCTGCTCCAGCTCCCGCCGCAGACTGTCCCGCTCCCGCCGCAGCTGCTCCTCGGCCACGCTGCTCTCGCTCACCAGCGCCTCCAGCATCTCCAGCACCCGCACGATCCTGAACTGCAGCCGCGCGCGGGCGGCGGGGAGCTCGGGCCCGGCGCGGAGCTGCAGCAGGTCCCGGCCCACCACGGCCGAGATGTCGTACACATCGGCGGCCGTCAGCTGGAACGGGCTCTTCTCCAGGGCGCTCTCCGGGCCGCCATCCCCATCTTCCTCCTCCTCCTCGTCCAGCTCCTCCTCCTCCTCCTGCCGGCCCCGCTGCATTCCCGCCGCTCCCTCCCTCCCGCCGGCCCGGGCGGCGCTGGCGCGGGCGGAGCGGCCCCTCCTGCCCCCGGCGGGCCCGTGGCCGCGGCCCGGCCGCGCTTCCCGCCCTGCCCCTTCCCCTGAGGAGGCACCGCCCGCCCGCCGCTGCCGGTAAGGGACGAGGGGCCCTCGGTCAGCCCCGGGAGCCGGCACCGAGCCGGTTCCGCAGTGCCCTCCGCGAGTGGGGCTGGGCCGGGGGGACGGGAGGGCTCCGGCCGGGCGGGAGCGGGGAAAGGGGCTGAAGTGGAGCCCAACGGGAGCGGCCGCGGCTGCCCCGGCCCGAAGAACCGGGACAGGAGGGGAAGGGAGAGGCGGCGGCGGGAACGGGGCTGAGGGGCCTCCTCGGGCGGGGAACGGTCCGGGCCAGGCCCGAGGGCTCCCCGCGGCTCCGGCTCCCGGCACGGCCCTGCCCCGCGAGGGGAACTCGGACAACAGCCACGCGGCCGCTTCGTTTACGTTTATCTCGCTTTGGGGGATTTTTGAATGAAGGCACAGTACATCGGGGCTGGGAGCGCTCCTTGCACAGCCCGTGCCTGCTCCTGTGAGCCTGTGCGACGTGTGTTTCCCCCAGCAGGCCATGGCTGACTGGGCCCCCATAGCGAAGGAGTACGACCCGCTCAAGGCCGGCAGCATCGACGGCACGGATGAGGAGCCCCACGACCGGGCCATCTGGCGGGCGATGCTGGCACGGTACGTGCCCAACAAGGGAGTCACGGGAGACCCTCACCTCACCCTCTTCGTGGCGAGGCTCAACCTTCAGACCACAGAGGAGAAGTTAAAGGAGGTCTTTTCCCGGTATGGAGACATCAGGAAGATCCGTCTGGTTCGGGACCTGGTCACGGGATTTTCCAAGGGTTATGCCTTCATTGAGTACAAGGAGGAGCGTGCGCTCCTGAAGGCCCACAGAGATGCCAACAGGCTGGTCATCGACCAGCATGAGATCTTTGTAGACTTTGAGCTGGAAAGGACTCTCAAAGGGTGGATTCCCCGGAGGCTCGGAGGTGGCTTTGGAGGCAAAAAAGAATCCGGGCAGCTGCGGTTCGGAGGACGGGACAGACCTTTCCGAAAGCCCATCAATTTGCCAAATGTGAAAAATGATTTCTATGGAGAAGGATCATCGGAGAAAAGGAACTGGTCTCGTGAGGGAACGAGGGATTGGAGAACGAGGGACCGGGACCAGGAGAGGAGCAGAGACAAGCGCTGGGGAGAAAGGGAGCGGTCGTGGGCTTGGGGCGACAGTGAGAGAGAGAGGGACTCCAGAGAGGAGCGGAGCAGAGGGAGGGACAGGAAGGACAGAGACAGGAAGGACAGGGATAGAGACCGGAGCAGGGAAAGAGAGCCCAAGAAGCAAAGAGATGATGATAAGTACAGATAGGTGACCATGAAACACTCACTTATTGGAAATACAGGAATAAAGCTTCTGAAAAATGGGCCCCAAAACAGAAGCTGATGAAAAGTGACTTCATTTTCTTGAGGATGCTGGGACAGGTAGGACCTTTAGTGATGCTGGGTCCTTAACTGGTTCTGCCAGGTGAGAGAGAAGCATGTGACCAATCCATTTTGTATGTCATGGGAGGATGTGACTCCTCTGTACACGAGGAATGTGCACCACAGAGCAGTAAACAGGTCAGAAAATGCCTCATGTTCCCGATGAATCCATGGATGTTCACTGAGGGATGGTTTCATGGGTAAATGTTGCAGCTGCACCCACTCTGTTCTCTCCTCTCTGCCAGTGAAGTCCTGCCTGCACAGGGTTTAGATCCATTCTGGAAAGTGGGTTTGCTGCTGATTTGGGGAAAACAAGAGGCCAAGCACCTTTTTCAGAGCCAGGATATGTATGTACAGACACACATCTCCTGTTGGGGAGCTTACAGTGCTTTCTAGAAAGATAGATAGATAGATAACATATTTTAAACTATATTTTGTAAGCCTTTGAATGGCCCTGTCCTAAACCTTGCCCAGTTTGATGCTGTATTTCCATGAAGAGTTGTACACAGACAGATCCACAGGCTGCATCCCCAAGAAGGGATGGTATTAACTTTCCACAGGAAAAAAAAAAAGGACACAACTGTTGCAGAAATACGTGTTTTTCAGAAATATTTATTAAACTGTTAAAATGATTTACTGTCCAACCAAAAAAAAAGGAAAATAAAATAAACCAACCCATAAAACGTCTGATCCTGCACTTGGCAGGCAGGACTGTGACACCCCTCACCTGCCACCGTCCTGGCCCCTTTTCTAAAATCAGATGTTCCTTGAATACAGAGAACCAACACATGACAGATCTAAAATCTTTACAAATGCTTCCCTCTGGGCCATCCTTCCCGATGGCACTTGTGAACTCAGCACTTCCAACATGACAACGAGTGGTTAATGGCAGCAGGTCAGGAGGAACTAATGAGGTTTCTGAGGTAATGGGCTACAGAGATGAGTGGGGGAAGCTTGTCCTGCTTAGTGCTGTGCTTTGATGTTGCTGCAGATCTGGCCTGACAATGGTGCCCCGGGCTCTGGGCCGGGCTTTACTGCACCAGGAGCACAGGCTTAGGCTCGGTCTGTGCAGTTCCATTATCCCAGCTCATTGCTCTCAGCTCATTTCCAAAGGGATGTGCTTACTCTGGCTTTGTTTCTGCTCACTGCATCCCTTCTGGATGTGCCACACGACTGGACTGTGCCCAGCAGAGACTCCATGGGGTCACTCACAATTTAACAGCCGGATGGAACTGGACAACTTCTGGTTTTCTCATATCTGGAAGTGAATCCAGATCTTGGCAACTTAAGTCTCATTAAATTAAGACACTCCCCCCCATTTAAGAATTGCTTTTCACTCAGTGGGGGAAGTGCTGCTGTTTCACGGGTGTTACCAAAACACAACCAGGCAAAAGCTCATCTGCCCAATTCCCGTGTTGGCCGCTGCCTTCACTGTGTCTAATGCAGGTGTCTCATGTAAGGCCACATGCCCCCCCTGCCCCGAGCTGCAGGAGCACCAGGGGGGCACAGTAAACACTTTCCCTACCTAGAACATATGGAAGATTTGTGTTTGGAATGAAGCAGTTGCAGCCAGGAGCAGAGCAGCACAGAGGGAACAGTTCCCTGTCAGGCTTTCACTACAGACAGGCTGAGAACCATTTGCTGTGCTCACACACGTCAAAGAATCCAGTCTTGGATCACCCTGTAATAAAAACAACTGGCCTGCACTAAACCCATCTAGGAGTCCTTCAACAGTTCCTCCTGCACTCTACCTGGAGTAGTTGGAGCTTTACTCCAGCCTGAGCAGTATTTCCCATCCTTGGTGCCACTCCTGAGAGGAGGCTCTTTACAGAGCAGGTGGAGCTGCTGGGGGTGTGGTACCAAGAGCTCCAGCCCCTGGAACTGAGCTGCATGAGCAGGAGCTGCCCCTGGCCCTGCCACCACCAGATGCTCTTTAGCAGCAGTGGTGCCCCAGCACAGACCTTCCAGAACACAGAGACCCCTCAGCTCTGTCCTCGCCCTCTCCCACCTGGGGGGGTGCCTGTGGAGTGTGTGGTGCAGGGGGGATGCTCTGACATGGGCTGGACACAATAGTTGTGCTCTGTGGGGTTTTAGTGTTGTAAGTCTGACCTCGGTCAGACCCAGGCTCTCACAATCTGACTGCAGAGCAGATTAAATCCCAGGCCCTGGCAGTTGGGCTGGGCTGGCAAGTTAAGCCCAGTAACACTGGGCTGCCCAGACATGAGCCAGCACCAGGGGAGCAGCCTGCACACAGAATTCATTCCTCTGCTCCCACAGAGTTTAGTGTTTAGTTTGCAGTTGGGGCCATCTCTAGGTCAGTTTAACAGCTCGTGTCAGCCAGCTGAGGATGTGTGTCCCTCTCAAGTTGGGCAGTTTTACCTAGACAGGAAAATGGAGTGTGACTTAATTAAAAACCTCTCTGTGGGAAAGCTCTAATCCTTTCCAGCAGCTGCCTGCTACTCTGGGGGGAAGTCCCCAGTAAGAAGGAAAAAATCCAAGAGTTAGGATTCCTCCCTGTAAGCAATTTGTATTCCATTAATACTGCAGAACTCATGGCAAAACACAAGGCACGCTCACCTCATACAAGGGTTCTTCATGCTTTAGGCACTATAAGCACAAGGGAAATGTACACTCACTGTCCCTCTCAAGGCTACTCCAGTTTCTCACTGTGCCAGGTGGGTTTCCAGGGGGTTCCTCTGCAGGATGCCGATGCCAGCGGCACTGACAGGACACAGCAGAGCTCTGGGCTGCCACGGAGGGTGTCCAGCTGTCGTGTCCCTCTTGAAAAAATTCTCACAGAAATAAAAAGCAAACAACCAATAGTGTTAACAAACAGGGTGGAAGAGTCTTTGCCCTGTACTAGATACTGTACACTGCAAACAAACTTCTAATAATGGCACGGGTCCTTTTTTGGTTTAAAGAAGCTTGTGTTACTGTAGTTAATGCAAGAACAAGACCGTGGACTTGTTATTCAGCACAAAACAAGTCATCTAGAAGCTTCCACGTCCCAGGGTGGCAGCAACTGTTACTACAAAGCTTGGGCTCTGTTTGCAGCAAACAGTCCCCAAGTGAACAGCGAGGGATCCCTTTGGGAGGGTCTGGAACAACCCCAAGGTGTGCGAGGCAAAACCAGTGACGAGCTGCCGCGGTGCTTTACAGGAGCTTCTTGTCACGACTCTGTCGGATCTACTGCAGCAAACAGGACACCTCAGGGCTTCAGTCACAGGTGCTGCAGGGCTTCCTGGCCTTGTTCCATGTAGGAGTCATCCCTACTTGAATTTGACCATTCTCCAAAAGTTCCCTGGAAGTGGACATTTTTCTGCGACGCCTGCAAACGTTTCTTGTCGCGAGAGAAGAAACTAAACCTTCCAGGAGGGGAGGGGAAAGAAATGAAAGGAGACTGGTTACCATCCTGAAAGCACTTCCAACACACCCCCCTAGATACACAACCAAACACAGAGCAAAAAAGTCTGTTGCATCTGCACAAACT